TTTATTGATATATTTCATAAGTGTTCTGATAGTCGGATACCATCCTTAGCGGCCTATTCAGGGAGAGAACAAATCAATTTCCAACTGAAGGGATGTTGGAAGTGGATGGGAAATACATTACGGAAATCACCAAACTGCATCACGAGTCAAACCCTAGCTTGGAGTCTTGAAGGGGAACGACAAAGAGGAAGATCAAAGAACACACTGTATCGACAATTGGAAGCAGACATTAAAATGCTGAATAACATCTGGAAACAATTGAAAAGGATTACCGAGGTTGGAGTTGGATGGAAAGTACTGGTGGTAGGCCTATGCTCCTCGACGATGCGTAATAGTATTAAGTAAATAAGTTTTGATAGTGTCATCAATCTGGATTCACCACTTCACACAATAAATATACTGACTTCCAATAGAATATATTTTTCAGAAACTCTAGAACTAGCTCACATAGTTCACTTGTTTTTGTAGTGTATAAATCATGTGAATGAATCAAGAAAGTCTACTGTATTAATGTGTGATTTTGAAAGCTTATCGTGTGCATTTAAATAACTAAAACATCCGAAGGAATCAGAAACTATACACAACAACAAAAAACTGTAATAAAGGAATGTAAATTAAGCTGAACTAGAAGTTTTAATAGGAATTCATTTCAGATTAATAATTCATCAATGTTGGAATGATCCAGAAAACTTCTTGCAAAAGATAAGGAAGGCTCAGGAAACACGAACAAGCATTTTTTTTTCTAATCAGCGTTCACTAGAAATTTAACCAGAAATATTAAGAAAGTGAAAAGTCACATGTAGAGTTTCTGATTGGCTGATTACTATACTGTTACTATGTTTAGTAGCATTCCAGAAGTTTCAGGAAACCCTGGAACATCTAAAATACTCTAAAAACCCTATATTTTCTATACTAAAACAAACCTTTAGAGTAAAGTGCTTCTGGCATATTTTGCGCCATTTCTCTCGTGTTCAGATTACTGTGTAGTTCTAGCTTGTGGTTTACGAGAATATCTTAGGAACCGAATATAGCATCCAACTAGCAAGACTTATCAATCAACATCCAGTTGCTGAACAAACTGAAAATTAGAACAACCTCCTTAAGACTCTTTCAACAAAATAAAATAGTATTCTTGTTAAGACGTAAAATAGTACATACTACTGAATTACAATTGTAGTGAACGAAGATTAGTGGGTAAATCACTTTCAATTACACACTGACTTAGTAAAATATGAAAATTTTACATTAAATACATCATTTTCAAATGTTCTTTGCGTTTTACTTTACATACTCCATTATTCCTCGAATTCTGTTGTTGTTTCAATTGTTCTCCGATTTCTTTCCTATTCTCTTCATTTTAGTCTTCTGATGTTAGGCATTCCACCTCTGACACGGCTACATACTACTTATATATATCAGCATAAGTAGCATATATCACGACATCTCATCAGTAGCATCATGCACAGACATATGAAACTATCTCATTAGTTAATATGGTGAGAGTGTAATTTATGGACGACCTTTGAGCGACACCAAAGTGACCTTGAAATTGTCTACCTACTTACTAGGGCGAAATCAGGGTTATAAAGCAGTTTAAAAAATAATGATTATAATTTACAGTTGATTAGGAATTAGATTTACGGTTTTTCATCACGAACTGACATCAGTTAAAAATGCCGAAACGCTATTTGGAAAAATGGGTGAGTGAATTATGCGCCAAAATCCAAGACCTGTTATCCTAAATCTGATTGGCTCGTCCATAAATTATAGTCTCGCCGTTAACGTAAGCAAGAGGTAACATATGCTAAACAATTATCTACTTCACAATTAATTACGTTAATGATATGCTGATCTGGTCAATAATTTTAGATAGATTTCTAAGTAAACTGATAGTTAAACTATGTAAATGAATATACGGTAATCTAATCAAAATATCTATTTGTAGTAAGTCTATAAATCAACAGTATTCGGGTATGCCCCGAAATGTCCCGGTACATAGGAGAGTGGGGAGGGACCGTCCTCCCTCTCTAAAATGCTCTCACACGGTCACGTGTATATAGACTCTTCCAAAGAAGTCCTACTCACTGCATACTCTGTGTTGTTTACGAAATTGAGAGGACGAAAAGCGAATATCCGGCGATTTAACCAGGTTGGTGAATATGGAGGATACTCATAGGAGAGTTGGAAAACCCTTATTCCAAACCAATGGCTCACATGGGCTGAAATATCCTCAGAGAACAAATGGCATACAAGCTAATTGTTGGTCATTGGCTACCATGTGACTACATCTCCTCACCATGCTCCATTACCTTATAGTTCAGACATTTAGATCGAAGGCTCTGAGTGTGGCTTCCTAAGAAAACCACCTGTCTCGGTTTGGGCACCCGGAAAGTATCATTGCCCTCGCACAATTAAAATGAAATGATGTGGCGCATATGTATCTGGTGCCTCCTTGTACCAATATTTATATGTTCAAATAAATAAATCCAAGTATGAAACCAGTTCTAACCCATAAAAAGAAGCGTTAAATATGAGTATTTCGATATATAATCATATTTTGATATGATTCAGATTGAACAATTAACTGTTTTTATCTTCTTCATTAAGCATCATAACTGAAGTCTTTAACCTTGATATTTGTTTTTTTCTTCAAGAGTGAATTCTAAAGGTCGTAGATAGATCTTTGTGCTGATTCCCCACTAAACAATAGCAAAACTTCATGACGTCTTACTTATCATCTTTTAACGTATCATACTCAACTATATCAACCATAGACCAACTGATTATTCCTTAAGAAAATACTGATTTTTGTATCAATGTTTAAGTAAGAATATGAAATGAAATCTTTCCAAAAAAACAAAATCATACAATAATCTTGACAACATCCACCTTCAAAGAGATCAATCAATAATATGTTGTTATATGGGTAATGGGATTAGATTAAAGAAAAGAAAATATTAGAATAAGATTGATGATATAATGAAACAATGATCCACACCCAAGATTATATTCAACAACTTGTTTAATTATTCATGCTTCCTCTATAATCTATTCACTGATTTACATAAATCAGATCGATTTTTATAAAATGTTTATTAACTTATGCTGTCAGCTGATTGAAAGAATGTAATAGATCAGTTTAAAAGAGTAGTAAAGCATGTCTTACAAAGAGAATGTTGCTTTTTTCTTTATGATGGAGACTTAAATAGGAATGTGTTATGTTAGAATGTATAATTAGTTGTCATGAGCCCCCGAATACCCTGGTATGGCCGAGAGTGGGATGAGCCCACCCTCCCTCTCCAAATGCTCTCACACGGCCACGCGTATACAGCCTCTGCCAGGGAAGCCCGACTCACTGCCTTCTGGTGGCAGGGGTGTTGTTTACGAAAATGAGAGAACGAAAAGCGAATGTCCGGAGCTTTAACCGGATCCCAAACCAATGGCGCACATGGACTCCAGCGTTCTGAAGGAACAAATGGTGTATGAATCGATCGTTGGTCACCAGCTACCATGGGACTGCATCTTCTGACATCGCTTCACTGCCTTGTGGGTCAGACCTTTTTGTCCAAGGCTCCAGGTGTAGCCCCCTAAGAAAACCACCTGCTTCGGTTTGGGTACCCGGACAGTATCACAGCCCCCACACAAATATGAGTGTGGCGCATATGTATTTGGCGTCTCTTTGTACCAATATTTATGTGTTCAAATAAATTAAATAAATAAATAAAGCTGTTATAAACATTCCATTTTCTAATATCTATCTTCTTTTCAGTTATTAAAATAACCTAATTTATTTTGTACAAATTTTTATCTTCTATTTCTTATTCTACCATTATTCGATTTAGCCAACTCTTATGTAATTCATTTCCATATATCCTCTTAATTTTGGAATAACTAAATGAGATAACATCTAATTTTAAAAACTTAAACCCACCTTTCGTGTTGTGGGTTACTTATATCCATAAGTAGTATATAATTGTGGTCAGGTATAGAATATATTTCAGCAGAAGATCGATAAGGAAAAAAATGGAAACGGTACGCAAGTGGTATGAAAATGCAGGAACAATGAAATCTGAGACAATGGACTGATATTGCAAACGGAACAGCCAAATTTCAATAGTGATTGATATTTTGCAAATTAATTATTTATCATATGTCTCCGAGTTTATTAAGATGCTCTGTGTGTGTTTGATTGTCTCCAATGGTGTTCTGTTTTCACACTACAAATTGAGCACTATCTTCTATGTTCTTTTAAAATACCTGGGAGTAATTCAGTTGTATTGTTTGTTTGAATTTTTCCACTGATGTTTAGGACTTTAGTTGATATTAAGGTAATCATCACAGAAATTACATATTCTAGGAGAGAGACTGATCAATTATAGATGACTCGATGGTGTTGAAGAAAAAACAACAAAACTGAATAGACATTAGTATATAGGAGTGAAATAATAACAGTAATAGCAATAACAATAATGATAATAATATCCTCATTATTATTATAACAATGATAATGGGAGAAGCGGTTAAGAAGAATACACACAGTAGAATTGCCGCTGGTTTCTATTCTGGGCCATGTTTGATAACGTCTCCAGCCACTGTGTTGCACCATATCTAGGATCGCAGCGAGGGGGTAATGAAGGTCCAATAGAAGTCAGTCCTATACAACTTTCACGCCACGAAACCACATCATACAATGACCACCTCTCCGCTTTTTCCAACCAGTCCCAACATCGGCAAATTATGAATGTCGTGGAGACAATACCCGTAGAACATCATATCTACCCTATTTTAGAACTATGAGAAGTGTATTAGATACGCTGCGGATAAATAAGTCGTAAGTTTGCTTATTCTAATAATAAAATTAATGTAAACTACAGAAATAACACAGTCTAGGAGTAATCCATCCACCAAGAAACTTGTGCGCTTTAATGTAGAAAACAAATGTTGAGTTTTAAATCTATGAAAAAGGATATGATTTATATCGGATCACCAATGTTCTCCAGCTATTTATCAACATATTGATTTATTATTATATGAAAATGAAAACAAATATTTGCATAAATGCACTTTTAAAAGAAAAAGAATAAAAATAAACAATATGTCGCTTACTTTTGAACATGTTACTAGAATATTATTGCGAAACCGTAAATGCAGCACAGCTTCAGCATGATGATTAATAACATTTAAACAGCATCCAGTGGATAAATCCCATAAACGAACTGTTGTATCACTGGAACCACTGATCAGCAAATTCCCGATATATTGCAAACATAGAACGGAACCTGAATGTCCTTCAAGGACCTAGAAAAAAAATTTTTAAATAATCGAACAGGACAGTGATACCTAAACAAGTTGCTTTCATCAAAGTTTAAGTTAGATGAAAAAGAATGCAAGGGTCTGTCGATGATACAATTTTTGGAGCACTGATAAATAAATGACTTTTAAATATTGAGATTGTAATATCTGAACTTCCCTACAATTACTTCAGTTTGTGAAATGGGGTACTATCTACTAGTTATAATACCAAAAGATGTCAATTACAGTGAGATATATGATATTTAGGTTGCATTAATTCATCTAATCCATCTTCAAACACCGAATGAAAAAGTATTGTGATAAAACGTTCTTTTATATCATCTGAATAAGAACAGTTTGAAAGATAACCTTTGCTTGCACAATCTGAATTAGGTCTAAGGGCAGATCTTAAAAATGTTCAAAACAGTAGTTGAAAGTAGAGAATTCTAGGTTATAAGCTGATGTAAACTAACACTGTCTTCATGGTTAATTTGCTTAGAGATGAATATATCGACGCTCTAGTGAAAAACACCGGTTTATGGAATCGATTAATTAATAATGACATTATAAAAAAGTTGCAAATTAACATGGATCTTACATGCCGATTGAATGGTACACTCAGATATATACAGACATAACGTTTATTTTTATCTGATCTCAAAATAAAACGATTAATGTTACATTAAATCACATGTTTATCCAATAGATTGGCAATATACTAAAAAGAAATGATTTTCCAAAATTAATCTAGTGTTACATACCATATAGGTTCTAATGGTCATTTAGTTTTGTGGAGCAAGTGCTCGAAATAAAAACAGGAAAAACATAAAATATGAATATTATGAAAGGTAGTATTGTTAACCTTTACATAAAATAGTGTTTTTTACACTAAGTCAGTCAGCTACAACATAGGAGCAGGCACATATATACATCGGTTCAAGTTGCCACACATCATTAGCACAATAACATGAATACAAAATTCATAAAAGTAGTCAATTCAATGGTAGTAATATATAAAAGAAAGATTGTGTATAAGGATATAGTACAGGAAGAAAGAATTTATTCGTAGAAATAAAGGTATAAAGTTTACGATAACCCATCAGTGCAATCGACTTAGAATAAATCCATTGGTTTTTTTGTGACCCTTTGGTTCAAATCATTAATAGATGTCGCTGCTGTTTCCATAGCTGATTGTACATCTTTCCAAGCAACATCTGGATCAGCTACGTTTCCAGAACTATCTAAGTGTGACCTCAGTTGTTCCTGGAATTTACTTTTGGCTTTCTCTTGTATCCAGCAGAATAGTGGTTTCTAACCCCTGCAAACTACCCATTATTGTTGTAGGATATACGGATTTAGAATAATATGAAGACAAATGACAAAAAGTAGTGTTACCTTGCTTCCAGAATTTATTATGCCTTCCCTAGCCTAGAATTCTCTGTCCGAGAAGAACTAGTGCGTTTGCGATTTGTAGAAGGGCTTTTGCCGGGTGCACTACGACAGCACTTGCTACACATGCCACCAAACAGTATACAGGATCTTAAAACCACAGTCCTTCGTTTAATGACCGCTGATAAGTTATCAAGCACTTCAACTGCACCCTATTCGACAGCAACGGCTATCGGAGAGTCTAGTGTATCGCATCAGTGTGACTCCGCCCAAACTATTCCCGGCTAGACAACCGGTAAGCTCCGCCCGGAGTTCCTCCGGGGGCTACTGCCGCTCCCAAGCCCAGATAAAAGAGGAGGGTTGGGCATGGGGTTAGCGACACCATCCCGTAGAAAACTAACTCGCTAAAAAATGCTAACCAGAAAAAATTATTCAAACTATTTAAACTCTGCCCTGGGAGTCAGAAGGTCTTCATTTAGAAGAGTTATGACGCCTCATGATGAAAGCCGAGTTCCTTCGGAAGTTACGAGGTCGATGCCGCTTCTGACAACCAGAGCAACCATTTATTTAGGTGCATAGAATGCTCGTACAATGTGAAAGACCGTGAGTCTTCCAAATTGCTGCAGAAATGAGATACAACCTGGAGGTGCATGGGATCAGTGAAACACATTGGACGCAAGTTGGACAACAACGACAAGCTTCAGGAGAGCTTCTGTTGTACTCCGGACATGATGAAGAAAATGCTCCACATGCACCAGGAGTTTCATTGATGCTGTCCAAACAAGCACAAAATGCACTTATAGGATGGGACTCTCATGGACCAAGAATCATCAAAGCCTCGTTCAAAACAAAGAAAGATGGCATTGCAATGAAAGTCATCCAATGCTATGCGCCTACCAACGACTACAATGAAGACGCTAAAGATCAATTCTATCATAGGCTGCAGCCAATCGTCGAGAAGTGCCCAACAAAGGGCCTGACCATTCTGATGGGAGATTTAAATGTCAAGGTTGGAACGGACAACACTGGATATGAAGACATCATGGGACGACACGGACTGGGAAAAAGGAACGAAAATAGTGAAGGATTTGCAAACCAATGTGCCTTCAATAAACTGGTCATAGGCAGTATTGAATTTTAAAAATTTCAACAACTTACTTGTGTACAATGGTAACCGTCGGAACATGTTGCTGCATTGAAACCTTCTTGATTTGGTGCTTCAACAGCTGCTCCTGCAGCCGTAGGAGCGTCACTTCTCACCCTGACTTTATGCCCAGACTCATCAGGATTGAGAGTAGTAGTACAATCAGAACTAGATCCTTTATTTTTATTAATTGCACAAATGTTTGGAATTCTTTGCCACACCTTAATAGTATCATCTCTTAGACCGCTAACAATTTTATGCTTATCATACTGAAGACAATAAACGCCTTTTGTGACATCGCTTCGACATGGTATCCGAGTTAAATGATACTGACCACGGGTCCAGTTATCTTCGACGCGCTGAACAGAATAAACAGTGAACAATTTATCAAAATTAAGCAAGGAAATAAAAATAAACGCAGAAATCTGAGACTACTCATTTACAATAAATTACATTTAACTACATAAACGCTATTATTTACCTAACGACACCAATAGGACTGCTGATACTACTAGTCTAAATGACAATCATAGTTAGCAGCTGAAGACCACAGGTAAAAAATTACCACCAATGCATCGAAGGCTTTAGGTGGCACGGTTCACAATCATTAAAAATGATATAAATGGATCCATCCTTATCTTTCAATTTTAAATTTCAGTATTCCCTCATACATCTTTTTGAACCACATTTTCATTGTTTTATCTTGTTTATTATAATTTTTTACATTTTGATCTCGTTCGTCATTATCTTCATTGAATTCATCTCTCTATAGTGATACATACAATATGGTAATATGAACTGATGCATATTTGTTCAAGGTTCTATATTTATTATAATGAACTGATTATTAACTACTGAAATAGTTTTCATTCCAAATACTTAATATACACTTGCAGTAATATCTTGTTATAAGAAAAGAAAAATTGTGAAAGCCAAAAAAAAAAAAACATTAAAAGGGTAATTATCATATTTTTTTACAATATGCACTGAATACATGAAGAAGAAAATCTCAACAACAACAACAACATTAACACAAGACTACAGAATATGAATAGTTTAGCTTGTTTATCAGAGTAGAATTAAAAAAGAAAGTAGAATGCAATGAAACACATGTGACCTAAAAATTGGATGAAACAAGTGTCTACATAGAAATAAATAAATTGGAATGAAATTAACAAATATTTATTTGACTAGAAAAAAAGATTCAGTAATATAAATAGAAAAATGTTATCGAATGGAAGAGAGAAAAAATGTCGAGAATACTTGTCGCTAACTAGAACAGACAAACATTATCAACATACATTAACATGAACAGTTGCTAACGTTATGAAAATCCGCTATATACTTATGTTGTAACTGGTTAGATCATATTTAGATGAAAAGCAGTCAGTCAGTCAGTCAGTAACAACGTAGAATTTCGTACGTATGTACATCAGTTCGAGTTGCCACACCACATTAGCACACAGATGCAGTGGTCGATTCAAATCCCGTAGTGGTAGAGGTAATAAGAGTATATGCAGTAATCGGGAAGCTTAGTGTTTGGAGATGTTACTTAAAGAGTATAATCCAGTGAAATAAATTTGGGAAGAGAAAAAAAAGACAACGAGGAATAAGGAGATCAAAATTTGGGAGAACACAAAGAGTGTATGCACCTGCGCCATTGCAAACGATTTTGAGCCATGTCATTCAGGGTCTCTAACCATCGGTTGCTATCATCTCGCGGTCCCCAACCAGGTAGTCTACACCTACCAACATGACTCAGTCCACTTGCCAGTGACTTCATGGATGTGTGCCATGTTTTGGTCTGGCCGCTCCTAGCTTTCTTCCAACCTACTGCTACACCATAAAACATCGCACGTCGGGGCATTCGGTGGTTGGGCATTCGTGACACGTGTTCCAGCCATCTCAACTGATCAAGTTTCACTACGTCATCAATTGATTTGCCATCCTTACCTAGTACCCGTTTCCTAACAACTACATTACTTACTTGATGGTCCCAGGATATACGATCAATGTTTCGAAGACACCTATGATCAAACATTAGTAACCTACGAATATCCTCTACTCTTACCGGCCATGTTTCACTGCCATAAAGTAGGACGGAACGAACTGCTGCGCAGTAAACACGTCCTTTGTTTGATAGACGGATATCTCGCCTACACCATAAATGACGCAAGTTGGCAAAAGCTAGTCGAGCCTTCTGTATCCGTGCTGAGATTTCGTCACACACCAGACCACAAGGGCTGATGAGACTTCCAAGATAAGTGAAGCGATCGACACGCTCAACTACTTCACTCCCTATCATTAGTTCGGGTGTCAATGCAACCCAATCCTGAAGCAACATTTTGCATTTCGAGGGGGAGAATCGCATCCCGAACATGCTTGCATTGTTGCTTATAGTGGTCAGAAGACTCTTCACCAAATAGAACTATGTTATCGGCATATTCTAGGTCAAAAAGTGAATCTTGCGGTAGAAGTTCAACCCCTGTAAATTTAGATGAAAAACAACCATGACCTGTTACAAATTGGATGATATTCGTTAAAAATTTATAGATACTACAATCATACTAGTAATTGTTAATACTGATAAGTAGTTTTTACAGGAAGAAAAATGAGGAAAATTTGATGCGCAAAAAGAACTGCAGAATATAGGGTTAGAGGTGGATGGAATCGTTTAGATCCATTTTTATAATATCAAAGGATTATATCTTGACAGACAGGAAAGCTTTCATTTTCGTTGTATACAATAAATGCTAAGAAATTCAACTTTCTACTCAATAAGTAACTTACAAAAAAGTTGATTACAAACTTGCATAATCATAAGCCAACCATTTTAGTTATGAAAAATTTTCTACAATGTTTTATCATAAGTAAGTACAAAGAAACTAATAAACTGATTAAATATTTGAAATACTAATACGGGTAAATAGCTATCCTTTTCATATCTCCGATAAGTACAGGATGAATAGAATTAAAGTTGTTAAAGGTAAAAAGTTGCCACCGATTTTCTAAACTATTACGTGTACTTCGATCTCTACGTCCTATAGGACTGTAGTGGAGGGACGATTTAAAAGTTTAAGTACTAGGCGCTTAACCGCTAAGTTGTAAGTTCATAACCACTTCAAGACTGACCACAGATAACACTTGAAAACTAATCATGACATTATTGTATGACAACTAGAACCGATGTACATACTTATCAGGTTCTACGTTGCACTGAATGACTGACTCACTGTTACAAGCGCACACAACCGTTAAGTGTTAAACTGAACATGACTTTCTACATGACGTGGCTTGTGAATATAGGTGAAACAAATGCACAAAGACTTTATCATAAACAAAGCTAGATCATAGTAAAATAAAAAAAGTGAGAGAGAAGTAAATAAAAAAGCTTACTGCTATATCACGAATTATGCGAGGATAAAGTTGTTTGTAGAAGCGATGGGCAAACATAACTGTTTCGTAAGAGAGTGCATCATGTAGATCTGTCTCCATGGAAAAAGAAGTTGCGCTCACAAGCCGATGATTTAATCCATCATTCGCATTATATGGGCTTAAAGAACAACTAGGTGTGTTGGATGCATCAGTTGTAGAATCTCTTGAAAATGGGATACTTTGAGTTCTCGATACGTAGGAGTGTGTATCAGTAGGATATATTAAGGAATGTTGAATGTCTGAATGACACTGGCATACTAGAGATTGCTGACGATTTACACTAACAGTTGATTCTAGTTTCGGAGAAAGTTTTGATGCTTCACATTCCATGCAAGAATTACTATCAAGGAATGGGGAGAATTCGGTTAGTTTGTGCCTAACACCTATGGGGACCCGACGTCGCTCGAGCAATGCAGGTAAATAAGCTGGATCAGAGTGGTCAATAAATTCAATCCATCCTCTACGTTCACACAGCCCATGCCAAACTGGATCAGTAGCTACACGACAAGCTAGTAGACGACGCCACAGTTGATACTTTGCAACACTCCACTGCCATCCTCTAGAAGCGAGTTCAACTGAAAGAAGACTAGATGCATCTAGCTGGACTAAAATCATCTCAGCAAGATAAGGAACACCGCGATCTAAGAAATTATTAAAAAATTCAGAAACAGATTAATGATTTTTGAAATGACTGACTTATCAATATTCTACTTACACCAATTGTGTGCGAAAATAGTTCAATACACTTTTTCAAAAACATGCTCTTAGAAATACACCTACATCTGATATTTATGGCCATCATATCAAGTTATGGAAATTCTATCGAGTACAACAACTTCTTTTAGTTTAAACACATAAAACGTACTAGATATCGTACTAATTCATGTTATTTATACAATATGAACTAATATTAGACAATATTACAATGTATACACATCAAATTCCTATACAATTTCTAGAAATGTATAAAGGTGACTTATCTAAAAGTTGACAAATAACTCAGTTCTCGCCTGATTTTCTACTGACTAAAAGTGATAACGTGACTAGTAAACTAATTGATAAACTTGAAATGCCACAGATTTCCAAAGCAGTAGCATTCAAGTAACGTCGCGTCACTAGCATAGAATTTGTTTAATCTTATAGATTGTGCAAGTTTACTTACTTTGGAGCGCAACAATAAAATCACGCTTTAGGAGAGGTTCTAGGAAATCATTGATTTGACTTTGTTGAAAGTGAGAAATTTTCGACAACAGGTTGCAAATGAAGTCGACTTGGTCTCCATTTGACCAAGAAGTAAATGTATCAATGCAGTTTTTCTTCTCCATAGAAACTGGAGAGCTATTATTATGCAGGCGCTTTTTCTTTTGATCGACAGGTGTGCTAGTATCAGACGACGGCTTTGACCGTTTGATATTGGAAATGCAAGTACAGTGAACCTAAATAAAGAAAAAGTTAAGAACAAAGCGAAATTAGTAAAGCAACTGTGAATCACAATAATTATAAGCAGACGATCCATCAACGAACAAATCGGGTTTGATTATCAAGCTGATTCTGTGAAAATAACCATACTAGGACAAGTGATAAAACGCGAGTCATTCAGTGGCAGAGTTTGACAATGATGTCCTTCCAAAATAAAAAAGTTTTGATGTTTTTACCACTACAGTTTTTTTGTTAAGGAAACAGCAAAATCAATCCTAAATTAACAGTTAAGATATATCATAGCTGTAACTGAGGAATAAACGACTTTACAAGTTAGTTAGTTAACTAACCTAGGAACAACAAAAACTGCGCATTAACTAGTGAGGTAAGACAAGTTGCTCTTTGCTTTTTCCTAATCCACTTATATCTTAGTAACAATAACACGTAAAGGTGGAAGATGACCAGAGATCAGTAATGTTTCAAAACTATTCCAGTCGATGAAGGTTCAGAATCTTACCGACCGAACTGTTATAAATTTGTACTGCTTATTATTTATTTATTTAAACACACAAACATGGGTACAAGAACGCACCAAATAGACATGCGCCACATAAATCATTCGATTTATGTCAGGGATAGGATACTGACCGGGTGACCAAACCTAAGCAAGTGGTTCCTTAAGGGGTCACACCCATAGCCTTCGACCTGAAGGTCTAATCCACAAGGCAGTGGAGCAACATCAAGAAATGCAGTCCCATGGTAACCGGTGGAGTTTACCTGTTTGGGGTCTGCGCAACAACCGTAAATGGTGGCTGGAGACTGAGCGACATTACTCAGAATCGTTAATAATGGCGCCGATAAATCCACCTTCTATCTTTTTCATGATTTTGAATTTCAGTATTCCTTTATACATACTTTTCCACTTTGTCTTTGCGAACCACACTTTCAATACTCAGTCCTGCTCGTTGTTATTGATGCTATATTATCCAGATAGCCTTTGCTATCTACTTTGTTAGTTTCATTTTGCCGAGTAAATATGGTAATTGCAACTTGGGCCAAAGCACACCTGTGCTGTGTTCTGGATTGATAACGTCTGACTTAAATGAATGTTATTTCCCTAAGCATATCCATGATGGAAATAATTACCCATAGTATAAAGACACTAAAACATGGGAACAAAGCACTTGTCTATTCGATATATCAATTACACAAGTTTCTAAGATTACGTTAGGAACGGCATTCAGTAAAACTACACACAGTTTACTACCAGTATAGAACTGGTTAAGGTCCTAAAGACGACTTGGCTTAGTGGCCCGAAACATTAACAGAGAATAGGAATCGATAGCAGTCCTGTTCTTCATAAAAGTGAGAACTTCCTAAGCTGAAATTTTTCCTGGTTTTATTTTTAAAGACTGATTTTTCCTTGTCATAGTCTATTTTCATTTTCTTGTTTCTGTTCATTTTTTTCGCTTGACTGTATTCAGCCCTCTTCCTCCACTCTTTCACAATCTCACCTAGTTGTGTGACCACTTGTACCAATGTGTTCAAATCAGTAAAAAAGTTATTTTTATGGACGTTGCAGTGATGTAATTGACTTTTCCAGACGGTGACATGTGATACCTTTACAAAAGATAAGAATCCGAAGTTCATCATATTTATGTTCTCGAGTTCACGAAGAGCCATAGTGTGAATATCGTAAGTTATGTAGCACTCATCAGGAATGAAAGGTATTGTCATCCAAGACTTGGTAAGTCACGTATTTCCTTCAAAAGACAAATGATTGTTACTTAGCATTAATAGCCACATTTGTCAGAGGTATAAGGGAATTTGACACTTATCGGTTCTCCGCATCATGGATCGGCATCCCCTCTGTCATTTTGCAGTATTTAAAGAGTGACGTAATATCTCCAGACTGGGAACTAGTCCGTATTCTGCGGAAACGAATGAACCATTAGGAGATTCGAGAGTAGTTAGAGTACCTCATTGTCCAGAAATAACAACTAAATATAACTTTATTAAGCCATGTGATACGAGTCCATACACATACGGGGAGTTGAGTAAGTTACGAACTTCTCGTTGGCTACATGAAAGTAGTTTTGTAACGCCTAACCTATCTCAAATGGAATACCTGATAATCTATGATTACTAAGTGTTACCATTATCAGTAAACAAAGTGAAGCTTGATATAAAAATTCATGGTATTAATAATAAACGTATAGACACCTCGTGAGTGAAGTGAACGAGTGGTCTATATTGAGACCGGGTTTGTTATAAAACAGCTGAAGTAAACTTCTAAGTAATAATAGAGGGTGGAACTTTCAACACTAACATGTACAGTAATTGGAGCTCATAGGAGTTAATAGGCGGTTAATCATCCTGTGACACAATCCTACATTGTGGGATTGTGGATGGTTTTGATTTACTTTGATGTCATCGTATAAACCGTGGAAAATATGAGAAAACTACACTAAAATGTTTGGATAGTTCGAAATATGCCAACTTCCCTAAAGTGGGGAAATAGCTATAAAAAGCTTTGGGGAAATGACACAAAAACACCAAAACTTCACCAGGTTTGCGGAAATCCCCAATATGTTTGGGGGAATCTTGGGTTCCCCACAGTACTTCCCTAGAACCCTATAAATCTTTAGAGGTTTTCCCTAAACTCTAAGGAGAACTACCATATTTAGTATGACTTTGGGGAAAACCCCAAAATTTACCTAAAGTTCCCAAAATGGGAATAACCAGTAAATTCTTACAGATCAATAAGAACGAAGATAGAAATGCTAGTTTGAAAAGTCTCCAGAGCATTCTAAAGTTACGGAAGACCCAGGGTACTGACCGATAATGATGTACTCAGGTCAAAGCAAATTAGTTAGGTTAAGTTGCAAATCAAACTCAGAGCATCACATATATCATATGCTAGTCCTACGCACGACACATGCGGTGAGATATTGACCTTCTGATATGTCTGCTTACGTTTTCAGATAATTCCCGACAGTTTTCACACCCTCGGTCAGAGCAAATATCTCTATGCTGACCAGAGAACATACTCCTATGAAAAGCGCAAGTTTCAAGTTGTGCAGCTAAACAATGTCCAATGCGCATATTTCAAACTAGACAATTACTGTCCATCAGTTCCAGTTTGAAAAGAACAATAGGGTGGATTGCCTGTTTTATTCATAACAATAATGTTCTCAGTTGATCCAACTTTCGTTTGAATGAGTCTACAGTGTTGGGATAAACAAAATGGTTCTAATGGTTGTGGACGCAATAGAAGAAACTTTCGTATAACAAGCTCTAATAGTAGTAGATCACCAATCCCTTCAGGTAAGAACCTTGGTATATTCTTGATAACAGAGGAAAATGTAATTCGAAAATCATAATAACATACAATCTTTAGTCCTTAACAATAAGTCAAGTTTGTAGTGACCCACTTTCATCAACAGAACGCGATTGGTGTAACATAAACAATTATTATCATAACCAACTGTAGCAGTGGTTGTTTTACTGTACCTGTTTGTTTAACTGTACTAAGAACACTTACATTATTCCGTTGCCTGTGACCTTGCACGAATTCGGTTACGATCAGTAACCACACGTGTAACCTGTCACGATTTCGGTATTGTTTCGATACGAAGAGATAGCCAAAAAATACATCTCGGCTATAGCCATTAACTGCCTTCTGATATTTGGCCTGTAGGGGATCTTATCGGTTGACTGGCACGTTGTCTTCCTGTAGTGGTGAACATAGTCGAAAGTGACTTGACGCCACACTACAAGTTTTCTCTTACAGGACTCCTGAAAAGTCGGTTTCACATGTAGCAGTAAATAAATCCCCAAAATAAATAGCTCTGTAAGTCTTCGACATTGGATGCTGACTGCATTAGTTTCAATGAACTCATCTAGATGAAGGCGCTAGGTCACTCATCCTCACCAGATCACGTGTGGGAACACCGTGCTCAACATCCCCTGCAATCGCTAGCCAGTCTAGATCAGTCCATCCTCGATACATTGATAAACTATCAAATTTATCATCGAACCTCCTCGTTTCTGTCTTTTGACTTCACTTGGTGGGTATTATTCATGGCAGTGGGTGTTACTGGTTAAAACGTTGCCAAACTCCGAATACCTGTTGCATCCTTCATTGATGAGCATAACGTGATCCAGTACACCAAATTGCAAATTGTGAGTGTTGTGGATGCGGAGGAATAGACCAATAATTATCATGTTAAGTCCAATGGTGTCCTTGGAATTTAAATGGACATTTCCTATTGGTCGATATCTGTTCACTTGTTGAATATTGTACAAAATGTTGTTTTCTATTTTTATGGTACGATGTGGTATGCTTGATTGGTATATAAACAAAGTATGTTTGAAATGTAATGATTCATATCTCCGAGGCTGTGACTTGTGTTCTGGACTCAACTGACTGGGCTAGACAGGGAAGCGAGACTAATCGAGACTCTAGGCCGTCCGTTCGTGTTTGCGTGTCACTGTAATCGATCGATAAGTACGCTGCTCTCTAATTTTCCAGTCAAGGACACAACAATTAGCACAGGGTACAAATCGACCGCAACTTAAAGTCATAACAGTGAGTCTCTTCCTTTCTGAGATTTTATATAACATTGCCTTATTTTAATTTTTTATACAATTCATAATTTTCTTCTTTTTTTTCACTCGTTCATTCTCGTACTTGATATTTCACCATGACTGAACGGACACCCAAGGTACTTAAGTTAAAGTCTATGTCATCACCTTCGTTTCAAATAAGTCCCTTCTGGCCAGACAACATCGAAGCCTGGTTTTGCTACGCAGGAGCCGACTTCTCCGAACATGGCGTGATCGACACACGTGCACAATTCCCCGCAGTAGTCAAGGCACTACCGCGCGAATTCAACAGGTACGTAACACCTAGTATGTTTACTAGAGACGTTTCAGAACCCTACGAAACACCTAAACAGTCTATCCTTAAACGCAGAGATCTAACTGACCGACAAAGGCTAGACCAACTCCTTAATAACATCGACCTGCAACACAGTTCTGCGGCAGACATGTTACTAAGGACGAGGGAAGTTATAGGCAAAAGAACCTTCAGTGATTGCCCATTCAGACAACGTTCCTTATCCGAATTTCCTCAACAGGTGAAAGCTACGCTGGTATCGTTCCAAAACAACGCCTTAGACGAGCTGGCTGCATCTGCCGGCCGCATCTTAGAAATCATGTAGTCTTCTCATGTCGATGCTTTTACAGTCAAGGAAAAACCTCAAACTACCCAGAATGACATCACAGAGTTATGTCTTACTCGTACACATTATCTTAGATTTCGTAACGACCGTAAGCTGTCACATACCACACGAAGAAGCACTTCACGTAAGCAATCCATCACTAGACCACGAAGGAAGGATAACCCCAACTGGTGCTGGTATCACAACGATTAATGGAAAAACCTTCAGAAACTGCAGAAAACCCTACAATCTTTTCAAAACTCAAAATCGACCGACACGAAAAACAATTCAAAAAACTTTCAAGCCGGCATGCGTTAACGGTCACCGTGACCAGCGAACATAGCCGTCTGTTATACGTCACAGATGTGATGACGAAAGTTCGCTATCTCATCGAGACTGGCGCAGAAGGTAGCGTTCTTCCTGCAAATTCTAACGAACGGCTTCATTGACCGGTTTTAAATCTACAGGCGGCAAGCGGAAAGCCTATCGTCACATAACGTAAAAGGTACGTTTACCTTAACATGAATTTGCTCAAACCAATACACTGGATCTTCGTTGTTGCCAATCATTGGTATAGACCTCCTACAACACCACAATGCAGTCATCGAAACGGGCAAACGGAGGCTAGCAAACGGAAACACTAATTTATCTGTTTTCGTAACTTCTGTTTCCAGGCGCGGATTATCTCCTGTCACACTTTTGCACACGATAAATCTATTCTACCAATCACTACTTGACAATTATTATGAGATAAACCAACCACAACCGAGATTACCGTGTGTAACCAGCAACCTTACACATCACTTCACGACTACAGGACCACCTGTATTTTCTAAAGCACGACGACTAGCTCCCGAAAAGCTGAGGCTAGCGAAAAACGAGTTCGACCATATGATAGACTTAGGAATCATACGACCGTCAAGTAGCCCATATGCATCTCCGTTGCACATGGTCCCTAAATAGGACAGCAACGACTGGCGTCCAACTGGTGACTATCGGCGATTGAATGCCCAAACCATTCCCGATCCTTACCCGTTGCCCCACATTCACAATTTGACAGCTACCTTGAAAGGTACAACTGTCTTTGCGAATACTGACCTGGTTAAAACTTATAACCAAATTCCCATGGCCGCTGACGATATTCTAAAAACTGAAGAATGACACAGGTATTTAGTGTTTGACAACGCTTTGACCAGCAACACCTAATATAATTTGTACCCACCCAGAGAAATCAAAAGACAGAGTCGAGGAGATCGGAAGCGTATATTTGGCGATAAGCAATATATCGGAATTCTCTTATCTAATCTGGCTAGCGATTGCAGTAGCAGTTGAGCACGGCGTAAGCACAGGCGATCTAGTGCGGATGCCTGACCGAGCGCCTTCAGCTAGATCAGTCCACTAAAACAAATGGTCAGCATCCAATGTCGAAAACTTACAGGGCTATTTATTTTGGGCATTTATTTACCGCTACAAAACCTTCGCACTTTTGGAGGCGCTTTTCATGAGGTCTGAATTTGAGACTCCGAACTGATTTTGTGGTTTGCCGTTGGTTATGTTCCATAGTGTCCTTATGTTTTTGGAGTGAGAGAGGAAATACTATATTTCCGTACTTTAAAGGGGAGCGAAAAAAACTGTTGGAAATTATGTGAAATGTTCTTCCATCGAACTGACCGAAAGTAGGTTTTAATGTTTCCGTTTCATGGTGTAGCGGTAAGTACATCCCCAAAATCAGTAGCTTTGTAAGTCTTCGACATTGGATGCTGACCATATTCGTTTTAATGGACTCACCTAGCTGAAGGCACTCGGTCATGCATCCGTATCAGATCACGAGTGTGAGTGTCATGCTCAACTTATTCTGCAACAGCTAGCCAGTTTAGATCATTTGCTTGATAGCCTATCTACTATGTCTTCGAACCTTCTTGCTTCTGACTTTTGATTTCACTGGGTGAGCACAATTCATTATAGGTGTTATTGGTTAAAGCGTAGTCAAACTAAAAATGCATCTTCAGTTCTATTATTAGAGTAGCACTAATATCAAACTAGACCACTATTCTACAATCCTACCTTCCAAAAATAAATTTTTTCACTGCTTTTTCGAGTTCTGAGAAAATGTTCCTTAATTTTCAGTAGTGCAGCAATTTTGAAGCGGGGAGGGGTTGTAAGAGTGAGAGATTTTATACTTAAATCACGTCCACAGGTTGCAGAATGGAATTTCGGTGATTGACTTCAAGCTCAACTTTGTGATCGTTCAATCGCTAAGAATAACACTTCAAATTCGAAAAGTACGTTAATTTGAAAGCTTTATGATCATTTCAAGAAAGTCAAATTTTTAATTATAAGAAACTGAATGATTTTGATATGCAGCATGTGAAAAAATCAGTTACTTTTCAAAGCTTTCTTTAAGAAATACACCTTCAATATCTCTCGCTTTCCCTCGAAGTAATAAATATTCTCACTCTCAAAAAAATATACGAAACGAGTTTTACCAATGATTAGAGAGTTTCACCAAGGTAAGCGTAGGTTTGTCAAATGTTTTATATTGTTTATTACCTGAATCCACTCTATACAGACACTTGTCGGCTTCAACCCTTGAACGTTGATTCCTGAGAACTCACCTACTGTGGGTTTTCTTCGTAATTATATTAGCCTAGGCTCTAATTAATTTTATTCGAGGCGACGTACTTTCGGTCACATGTTCTAGTGACATTTCAAAAATCTCACACAAATGTAATGTCTCAAATCATAAGTTATCGTCAAAGCTTATCAAGCACCCAGAAACTGGAGAAACTACACAGCAGATCGAACTGTAGACACAACTTCTACTCCTTAAGAGTTGTCAGATGCTGGAATTCGCCGCCTGCTGAGCTAGTTCAAGCGACTTCCTAGGAGTCCTTTAAGAGAAAACTTGACTTACTTTTAAAGAATAAATCACCAGCCTAGATGATCTATGTCGAATGATCGGAGGACTACTGGAGTTAGACGGGGATGATATGACAAACTAGCCAACGTCGAAGTCACACCTCCTGGTCAGCACCTTACGTGGACTACCCCCATTGACGTATCAAGGTACCACAGATGCTTTGAAGAATGTAAAACACAGAGGACGATATTACAGAAATACATTAGTCAAAGTAGATACAAGCGAAAGTAAGACCACTGCCGCATGGGCCAGTCCATGGCGTACGATTAACTGGTTGTCCTTGACTTTGACAAGAATCGATGATTTGTTCCATGTTCAATGACCCGAAATTTCACTGGCCCTACAGTATCTTACTATGATTTTCCAATTACGTTTTCCTCTTTTATCGAGAATATACCCAGGTTCCGGCCTGAAGTTATTGGTGATCTACTATGACTAGACACGGAAGCTTGTTATGCAAAAGCTTCTCCCGTCCATAATCACTTGATCCATTTGAACTACTATTTGAAATTCACAATGTGAACACACTGACAGTGCGTAGCAATTAGCAGTTTAAAGTTTATCATGAATTTAATCTTTGAAATGCACAATTAAGGTATGTGCCAATGCAAACCCTGTTCATCTGAAAAGAAGTACATATTTTGTTAAAGTGCATCAAAATCTAGTAACAAAGAAGTTTCGTGTTCGGCAAATACTTGAAAATGGTGTCAGGTATCCCGGATTTATCAATATCAGAATATCAGTTTATAAAGACGATTGGCAAAGGATCGTACGGAGAAGTTTGGCTATGCAAACATAAGATCGATTCAAAGAAGGTAACATGTTTCTTGTCAATAAATATAGTGAATAAAAGTACGTCATTAAAAAAATCGATGTGACAAAATCTTCTGATAAAGAAAGAAAAGCAGCTAAATTAGAATGCCGGCTGCTTTCTGAGTTTAGACACCCAAATATTGTTCAATATAAGACCTCTTTTGAATATCGCGGATTTCTGTATATTGCAATGGGTTTTTGTGAAGGAGGTGATCTTTACACAAGACTTAGAATGAGAAATGGGATTCTTTTATCTGAACGTGTTCTTGTTGAGTGGTTTGTCCAGCTCGCTATTGCCTTACAGGTATTTTTGTCTCCGATTTATCGAGTGATTCCCAGTATATGCATGAGAGAAATGTATTACATCGGGATCTTAAAACTCGAAACATATTTCTCACACGGTCGAATATTGTCAAACTTGGAGACCTTGGGATAGCTAGGTAATAATATAATTATTCAATATTTAAGGCACAGAGTGTTAGAGTCTTCTAATTCAATGGCTACAACCTTAATTGGGACCCCCTACTATATGTCACCTGAGCTATTTGCCAATAAACCTTATAATCATAAAGTAAGTTCATGGAAAATTTTGAACGTCAGTCGGATATATGGGCCCTAGGTTGCGTATTGTATGAGATGTCTACTCTTCGGCATGCCTTTAATGCTAAATCATTCAACGCACTATCATATAAAATTTTAAGCGGAAAGGTTAGCTCAAATACAAGACTTTATCATCTTCTATAGGTTCCAGATATGCCTACTCAATATAGTCCCGAACTTCTTGAACTTATGCGTGCAATGTTGCACTTGAAACCAGAGAAACGTCCATCAGCGAGACGCGTTTTATCTAATTCATTCATAAGGAAACATATTGTTTTATTTCTGGAAGCAACTAAAAATCGGTAAGTTTACTGATTTCAAATAAAAAAGAGCAATTAAAACACACATTTAACATTATTGTTAATCACTACACTTATTCGTAAATTCAAAATGGAGGAGTAGTTAGTTAAAACTATCAGTTGTCAGATTGGTCCTAGAAAGATATGTGAAAATGTTTATGAAGAAAACTAGAACTTAAGAATGTTCATTTTACGTTTAGTTTAAATGGACAGCTAGAGTTCTAGCAAATATTTGCCTTTAATCTTACGAGCAAATTTTATATTCTGTCTTTTGTCCAGATTGGTAAAACCTAGACTACTCAGCATTTTTAAAGTGTCTTACATATAATAACTGCTATAAGTAAATTCATTTGAAACTGTTACCGTTCGGGCACATTGGAAGTAGAAGCTAACTTTGCCGATATAATGCCATGGAGAAAGCTGCATAATAATATTAATAACTGGTAAACTGACACAAGTAGAAAGTTATGTTAATCTCAAAGTAGTTGGAATTTACATAAAGGACTCAAATTTAAACAGATGTTTTAAATGCGGAAAATTTATCCTGCTGATTTCAGGCTCAGTCATGGCAGTTAGAAACAGGTGACAAAGTGAATTTTATTGTTTGCAATAATTTGTGTTTTCTGATCGTTAGTATTCACTGATAAATTTGACCAACCTATGGCGTTTTGCAGGATGTATAATTAGATGCTTCGATATGCTGCCAAGAGTTACAGCTTTATTATATTTTTAAAGCCAAAACACGAACCTTTTGTCATGATCGATAGTTTATTTTTTGTTTAAACGATGTCTAATATCCCTATTGCATCAGTCACACGAACGAACTTAGCACTTTACACACTTTAAATAACGAAGTAGTTGAATTTCGATAAGATGGTTATCTTATATTTAAATAATTGTACACTTGTTTGAAGTGATTTATTTCAAGCTGCCCGTGATTACTGAGCAGCAAATAACCCATGTAAGTAATATGCCAGCAAATTTGGTACTTTTTTGAAGTCTAATAATAATATGTTTACAGAGTTTACTGTATGTTGGTATGAACAAAACATAGAAACTAGTTTTCAACAACAATTTAAATGAGTATATTACTTTATCCAAGCCCAAATCACTCCCGAAACCATTCAACCACTGAAGATGAAGTACACAACACCAATCAACATTCAGAATGCGAAACTGGTGTGCCTTCAATAACTAATCAATCATCCAAGGAAATAAAAATGAGCAATGAGAAAAGAACAAATCAAATGGAACAGGTTAAATTGATTTATTACTAATTTATACATTTGAATTTACGAATTTATTTATAACGTTGCCAAAAGTCATCTTAGATTACAGAGTTTAAAATGATAGTTTTATTATCAACTGAAATGAACCACCACTGAACCGATGTATAAACATATCGGCTGAAAGTGTTTTTCAAATTGAGGAGGGGGTTCATGAAAACCTAGCGGAAAATCATCTTAGTGAGCAGGGCCAAGAATAATATATAAGCTTTTGAAATAATTAAGATTATCACAAGGTTGTAACAAACATTTTCGTTAACTCTATATTCATGGTCATTGTGAAGTACTAGTAGTCATTTTGTAGAGCTGATAAAATAGAGAATAGTAAATTAGGATATTGTACAAGAGAATGCAATCAACAGTACATAAGAGTCGCTACGTTTTACGCCTATATACATATTTTCAATAAACCTGTATATAAGAGTATTGAAAAGCTCAACCGTGTACATTACAACAATACACTTAGGAGGACAATCAAGTTCTTAGTTAGATTTTTATCAAGCTACACCTTAATATACTGACTAATGTCTTTGAATATACAAAAAAATACTAGACCAATCGACGAAATCTATAGGTAAGTGATAACAATTAAAGCAGATAACTAATCATAATAGATAAAATGTACAAACTGGTAATAAGTTGATAACTGTATAAGTGGTGATAAAATGATAAAAACTTAAATAAATATTTCAACATAGGTAATCCGTCTAAAGTTAGGTAAATAAACTCACCGAAATGACAACCAGTAAACTTATGCGGTAAGATTTGCAAAATTAATTTATTTAAATTAATTCGTAGTAAAGAAGCCATTTAAAAGGGGTGGGGAAGAACAAACAACCAAAGCCTGTGGCGAATCGATAAAATTGCTCATTCATTCCTAGGGAAGAGACAAGTGTGATACAGATTCCTTCCAAACGTTTGTACTATGATTGTTAGCTCGAGTCACTATACATGAAGAACGCAAACAGTTACTACAGCAAAATTTCAAAGATTTGTGACTCATAGCTCTGAATGATCACTATTAACCAAGTATGAAAAAGCAGAGCCGCGTATTTTATTTTTACTTGAGCCTGTTCAACCTACCTAGGGAAACGTTTACTCATTTGTTGGCTAATTGCCCTGATATATATAACCATAATAAGTATAATCCTGTCATCAGAAATCAACTAGATTTACTATGCAACAAATTATTTAAAATGATTTATAAAATTGCTTTCAGAAGGTAGTTAATGGCTTTGTTGAAATATTATCACAAATGGCTGAAATCACAACAGATACATGCACTCTGAAATTTTGAATTTGCTGAAATGGTTAAGCTGAACAAGGTTTTTCAGGAGTTTTTACTAAGCACTTAACTATTTCGTGTATTTTGTCTTACATATACCTTACATTTGTCAGTTTACAACATATTCCAGGTGATTTAATGTGAAAACCTTACGCTTTTGAAAATCATTGGATCCTTGGTTTTGCACATAGTTATATTGTAGTTAACGATAGAATATTTTCAACTTTCCAGACAGGAAAGAAACGCAGTATTTATGACTAACTTCTTTTTTATATTCATATGATATTTTTTAAGGCGTTGATATGAGACTGAAATCTACAAATTTCTACTTTCTACTCTCAATAATCAAATGTTATCTAAATAAATAACTTGAATTGTAAAATCTATGATTGTTATCTAGAAACAAAGTGGTTACAAACAAAAAATAAACTTGCAAAGTTTGATTTATCCCACAGAAAATGGAATAACAGAAAATTATTCATCATGGGCGTGGTTCTTCTTAAGGCAATTCATACTTCTAACCATATGTAAGAAATATAGGTAGTTAAGAATGACTTCATAATATTTTTATGACTAAATATTCTTAGTCAATATATTTCATTAGGTTACTATGTAACCCTAGTATGATGATACGTTGTGTTAGATTCTTTCGATTCAATTACACAAGAACTGAAATGATCGTATGAATAATATAAACTAAATCAAATAAATTTATAAGGTGACTAGTTAAAATGCTGTTTTTTTACTCCAGTTCTAACCTAATTCGTAAATAATGATTGTTGAGATCATGAACCACTTAATATGAGACCACCATTGAAAACCTAGAAGAACTAGACGGCTGTTTCGTCCTATTGTGAGACTCCTCAGCAATGCGCATCCACGATCTCGCTCGCGAACGTTTAACTTGTAGATCACTGAACCGGATGGTATCCAATGGTGTTAATGTCTAACCTCAACCAATCCACAAAATTGCGTGAGCATCTTTCATTGTACTGAAGTAGATACCTGTCTCTGCTACTTCATTTAGTGTTAAACAATCAACATTTGGCTAAATGTAATTAATTTATACCTTGGACTTACTGACACTTATCAAACGAATCGCTAAAGTCGATTTCTCCTGACGATTATGAGTTAAAGTGAAAATAATATTTGCATAATGAATGTACAAAAAGTGATCAATCGATTATAAATTCATGTATAGATAACTTCTGTGGTAATTAATTTAGTACTTTGTTTAATCGATTCAAACATCACAGAAATAATTCAAATCAGTTATGCTGTAATGAAAAATATCTGTTTACTATTTTAGTAAAAGGAATGTACTCTTGACAATTATGTAATTATCAGAAGGGGTTTTGTTGAGATTTTAGAAATTTCACCGATTGAAATCATGAGTCAATTGAAGCTAGACCACCATGAAAAACCTGGAAAAACTGGACGGTCGTTTCGTTCTATTTTGGGACTCCTCAGCAGTACGCATCTACGATCCCGCCTCACGAGATTCGAATCCAGGACCTATCAGTCTCGCGCGAGTGCCTAACCATTAGACCACTGAGCTGGTCGGTATTCAACGGTGTTAATGTCTAACTTCAACCAATCCACGAAGTTGCGGAATCGTGGATCCACACTGCTGAGGAGTCCCATACTAGGAGGAAACGGCCATTCAGTGCTTCCAGGTTTTCCATGGTGGTCTAGCTTCAATTGACTCATGATTTCCATCAGTGAAATTATGTAATTATCAATTGACTTTAAGATATTACAACCAAGAACATTCATTACCTGTCATCAGTAATCATATTCATTTAATTTTAGCAACCAATTATCATACATAACGAACAAAACTGTGAAAAAAATTCACAGTCACTATTAAAACAAACCTTGTCTGTTGACCGAAATGATAAAGTTTTTGCAAATTCATCAATGGATGAATCAAAAGTTGATTTTTCAATCAACAATGTACCAAAAGAGTTAAATCAAAGTATTAAGATATCTTTAAATACATATAGACAACATGAAAAACAGATTAATGAGAGTATTGTCAATTGTATTGATGAACTTAAAGATGATTCACTTCATAGACATTTATCAGATGCTCGATTACGTCGTCGTCAACGTCGTCGAATGTCTGAAGTTGACGGTAAGTTTATAGAGCAAGCGTTTTATTTATCAAATATTTTTAAAAGTATATTGAATAGATCTTTTAACATAACAATTAATTTTCATTCGATATATGCTTTAAACAATAGAATGGAGTTATTCGAATGAATGAGTTTGTGTCATTTTGTTACATTCACATTTCTTGCTTCGTATGAGCTAATACTATTGTATTAAATGCTGTAGTACTGTATAGATACAGTTAGAATAGTTAGTCAGTTTTTTCTACTGATAGGTGTATGTAAAGGGTTGTCAACCGGTTGCCCACACCGTTGACGGATACTTCTTCCTGAAGAGTCTGCAAAAGAAACTGGATTAGGAAACTGGCTGAGTAACCATAGAATCCAAAGGACAACTGCTCATGACCTGTCACACCGGCTTTTTGTCAGTAATTATTAGTGTATTAAATCTTTACTTATGAAACCTTACCAATGCTGATGGAATTTGTTGGGGGGAGGTGCTAATGTGAGATGTTTTACCTTTAGGATCGACCTTCTCTAATCGTTTTTTTTCCACTATGAGGAGATGACAAACAATGGTTGTTTGGGCGGAAAATTTTACTGTCGTCATATTCCACTAGAGTCAGTTGCACGACCTAACTTCCTGGGCTTACTTTATTATCGTTAATCTTACCACTCTTCAACAGACTTATTTGACACAGTGTTTCCCAAAGGAACATGTGCTTCAGTCAGTAAAGTTTGATTTAGCCATTATGATGGATAAGCTTGAATATTATGTCAAAATAGCAGTGACTGTCAGGAAAGTCAGGAATATAGATGAATAACCTCAAGATATAGTCCCTACTGTCGATAAGTTTATATGATAATTGGAAGTGTTCGAATTATTGTATCAACTAGGAATTCCAGAAACAATGCAACTTATAGCAAGTAGAACTAGTTGAGTAAAAATGAATGTATAGTATTTGGAATTCGTAATAATTGGGTCGTCAAATATCAAAGAATCATTAGTTCATACAAATACAGCAGTTTAGTACAATCAACAAGAATTGACGAACGTGAAAAGTCAGTAGTTATAAGTTAACAAATAACAAAATAACGAGAAAAATCTAATTAAATCTCTACAACAAACTGACAAAATGATTTAGTTTCAGTATTGTATTGATTATTGATAAGAAGAGTAGGCTGAAATACAATAAAGAATACAATGCTTCAATATTTAGTATCTATGAACGATTTTTGAGGGTACAGAAGTAAATAATGTTACAAATTCATTCCCTGTTTGTCTTTCTTTCACTTTTGAATTCTTGTCTCCCATCATAGATATCTATCCATTCTGTCTTTTCAAGTAATGTTCTAAAAAGTTTAGTATTCCTCATGATGACTTCTGCTACATTATGTAGTGTGACAACTTGCGCTAACACACACGTCTATGCCAGATTCTCTTGAGGACCCTCTGGTACGGCCGACAGTAGGGAAGTCCTACTCACTGCCTTCTCGTGGCGGGGGTGTTGTTTACGAAAATGAGTGGACGAAAAGCGAATGTCCGGCACTTTAACCGGATTCCAAACCAATGGTGCACATGAGCTCCAGTATCCTGTGGGAACAAATGGCGTATGAATCAATAGTTGGTCACCGGCTACCATGGGAATGCATCTCCTCACGATGCTCCACTGCCTTGTGAGTCAGACCTTTAAGTCGGAGGCTCCGGGTGTGGCCCCCTATGAAAGCCACCTGCTTCGGTTTGGGCACCCGAAAAGTATCGCAGCCCCCACACATATCAAATGAGATTTGTGTGGCGCATATGTATTTGGTGCCTCCTTGTACCAATATCTATGTGTTAAAATAAATAAATAAATAAATATCTCTGTCAATAATTATATACATTGACATTGATTGATAAAACGTGTAAAGTTCTTAAAATTGTTTTTAGTGTCTCTCAAATGGTTATCTCTTTAACTGCTCTAACTTTTTCAATCGGAACAAGTCGTGAAGTTACAGATTTTTTTGGTTTCAAATGCTCTCTATAGAACAACAAAATTCCAGTAATGTATATAAACTATTGTCTTAATGTAAATTACACACTAACTATTACCCTTAATCAGTTTCATTTTATGCATATGCAAAGGGGTTTTGTGGATATTATAGTAATTTCAACAGTTGAGATCATGAGTCAATTAGAACTAGACCATCATGGAAAGCTAGAAAGTACTGGACGGCCACTTCATCCTATTTTGAGACTCCTCAGCAGTGCGCGTCCAGGATCCCGCCTTATGGGAGTTGAATCCAGGACCTATCGATCTCGCGTTCGAACGCTTAACCTTTAGACCACTGAAGTGAGACAGTATCGTGGTTACACACTGATAAGGAGTCCCACAATATGAAAAAACAGTTGTTCAGTGCTTCTAAGTTTTCCATGGTAGTCTAGCTTCAATGGACTCATGATCTCAACTATTAAAAATTATACATTGAAGTTTAAATGTAAGTAATATTCTATATCATTTTAGGAGAACAGCATCATAATCATCAACAATTTAAACATGAATATCAAAAAGAATCAATTAAAACAATCAAGTCTCCAAGATCAATTCATGAAAAACATGATAGTAACAATTCAAATTTAAAATTACACAAAATTTCAAAATTTCATTTTCATTCATTTTCTATATTACCAGTATCTATGTTACCTAAATTACATCAAAATATTCATCAAATAGAAAGTAGTAATTCAATCACTGATTTAATAACAAAACATAATTCATTAAATAATGATTATTCAAAGGTGATAGAGAATCAAAACAATGAACAATCATTAACAAATCAAATTATTCATTGTAGTAGTAGTAGTAGTAGTGGTAGTAGTATGAGTTCAACTCCTCTCATAACAATTTGCTCATCACCAGGTAGTGATCAAATGAATAAGGTATTTACTGTATTCTCTTATTTTATCCATAATAAATACTTAAATATTAGTCTTATTTGAATGTATATACAAGTTTTTGTGTAAACTATTGATATGATTTGGATATTTGTACTGAAATGACGGTCAATAGAACTGTTGTAAGGGTTAGTATTATATATCAAGTTCACTTAAATTATTCTAGCTTCTGAATAGACGAATCTACTCATTCTTCTTAAACTACATTTTGACCTTAAGGCGGCATTGGACTCTGTTAATCGTGTGGTTTTATGACAGTGTTTGTCACTGAAAAGAGTACCAAAGAAGTACATTGATATTATAAAGGCTCTCTACTCGTACACAACTGATCGAGTGAGAGCTTATGGACAACTATTATCAGAATTCATTACCTCAAGTGGTGTTCATCAGGGCTGTCCACTCTCTTCATTCTTGTTTAACTTTGTCGTTGACGTGCTTTTAGAGATAGCACTTTCCTCATCTGACTTTACAGGGGTTGAACTTCTACCGGGAGGTTTACTTGTTGACTTAGAATATGCCGATGACATAGTTCTATTTGGTGAAGAGTCTTCTGACCACTCTAAGCAACAATGCAAGCATGTTCGTGTTGCGATTCTCCCCTCAAAATGCAAAATGTTGCTTCAGGATTGGGTTGCACTGACACCAAACTAATGATAGGGAATGAAGTAGTTGAGCGTGTCGACCGCTTCACTCATCTTGGAAGTCTCATCAGCCCTTGTGGTCTGGTGTGTGACGAAATCTCAGCACGGATACAGAAGGCTCGACTAGCTTTTGCCAACTTGCGTCATTTATGGTGTAGGTGAGATATCCGTCTATCAAACAAAGGACGTGTTTACTGCGCAGCAGTTCGTTCCTTCCTACTTTATGGCAATGAAACATGGCCTGTAAGAGTAGAGGATATTCGTAGGTTACTAATGTTTGATCATAGGTATCTTCGAAACATTGCTCGTATATCCTGGGACCACCAAGCAAGTAATGCAGTTGTTAGGAAACGGATACTAGGTAAGGATGGCAAATCAATTGATGAAGTAGTGAACCTTGATCAGTTGAGATGACTGAAACACGTGTCACCTATGCCCCACCAACGACTGCCTCGACGTGCGATGTTCAATGGTGTAGGAGTAGATTGGAAGAAAGCTAGGAGCGGCCAGACCAAAACATGGCACACATCCATGAAGTCACTGACAAGTGAACTGAGTCATGTTGGTAGGTGTAGACTACCTGGTTGGGATCCGCGGAACGATCTTGAATGACATGGCTCAAAATCGTTTGCAATGGCGCAGGTGCATCCACTCTTTGTGTTCTCCCAAATTCCAATCTTCTGAATTCTTCATGTCCCTTTTTTCTCTTTCCAAATTTATTTCACTGGATTATACTCCTTGAATTACATCTTCAAACCGTAATGTTTCCGATTACTGCGTATAGTTTTACTACCTCTATCACTATGGGATTTGAATCGACAATCGTATCTGTGTGCTAATGTGGTATGGCAACTTGAACTGATGTACATACGTACGAAGTTCTACTTTGTTACTGACTGTCTGAATCTTGACTTTTTATATGATTTCATGCGTGTTAATTACTTACTCTATTCATCAGTTGTCTTTTACTTATTTCTGTCTGACTATAAATGTTGGATAACGCTTAATTGAATTGAGTTGGCTAATATGCCTTCTCTAGTCCGTTTCGCTTCGCTTCCTTCGCTGCATCTCCCTAATTGTCTGTTCAGATCAATGAGTTTACGAAATATACGTATTTAAACCTCATTCTCGTACTTGATTTATTTAATTCCGTTATTCACCAGCACGTTTTAAGTTGATCATTGTATTCAAGGATAGCCAGGCTGTATATATTTCGACAGCAATCATTCGATAACGATCATTCACCCGATCTAACCGAAGTCAGATATTCCTGGGCCACCAGATTGTGTTTATCTGTTAAACAAGAAGCAGCAGTTAAATTCAGCACTGATCAGCTCTATGTACACAGGGTGAATGTTGGAACCCAATAGCTGGTGCTTTAACCACCGGCTATACATTTTCTATTAAGCTAGTATGTTTTGATAACCACTAACATGTACAACAAGTGTGGTGTATTCAAGTACCAGTTTGAACGTCAATACTGGGAAGTACATACATCCAGATGATGAGCCTTAAATACAACGAAGTGTTCATTCTAGATTAAATTATTAACCACTATCATAATCATAATCAACTTGTAATAAAAAGAAATATGGGGTATTTATTCAAGGAACTCATATGTGAACAGAAGCTAATAAAATACAGTCCTAAATATCAACAACTTTTGAAAATCGATTACTATCGCTATAATCGTAACTTATGATTGTAGCCCATTGATAAACAGTGCTCTTATTTTGAAAACTTCTTAGAAGTAGTTATTTTAAAATGGATTCATACTGTATTCTCTGTGGAAACAGAACATATAGCGTCAACTAAATCTTGGATGAAGCGTTAGCGTACCAATAATGTTGAATGAGAATCGCTCTGTATTAACCATAATTCACTAGTTTTCAGGTGAGTAGTCTAAAATAATCGTGCTTATGGTACAGATTTGATTTTTCATGATCATCGATACGCATTATTGAGAAATGTTTTAGATTATAATGAATAATTCTCATAATTTGTATTATTACAAATTGTTTACGGGATCAAATAGATTCTTAATAACCATAGAATTTCGGTCATTTATGAGCAAAGCCCTTTGAAATTCATCCAGCTAAGTGTATAAGGCGATGACGTTTGAAGCGAACGGTACTGGGTTCGAGTCCCAAAGTGAACATCAACTCTGGGATGCAGGTACATCCAACTGACGAGTCCTAATTTGGGTGAAACACGCGTCCTGTATTCCAGTGCTAACCAATATCCATCTTTCCTTATAAAGCTTGTGTCTTAAGGCTATATCGAGGCAATTCTCATAGGATGCACATATGCCAATAAGAGACTGATGAATTGTAGTCCTAAATAACAATGGGAAGATACAAGTAAAAGAACATCAAGTGAATTCAGTAATTTGTTTTTGAAAAGTTATCCAACACCAATCATACTGATCAATCAAAGTCGATTAAAGACCCACTCATAATCAGAGTCCATAGTAGCTGTTTTATTCAAGTTTATGACTATTTATTAGTGCACATTTATAGGCATAACAGAGATTCAACCTAAGACCTTTATGTTTGGAAACAAGAGTATTATTTTGAGATGATTTAGTTGAAATCTAGTACTTTACAAGTAACAGATTCGTCAACTAGTTTTGTTGTTTCAGGTTGATCATGGTGTGAGTGAATTTTTACAAACAGCTTAAAAAATTTGATTGAATTTACTTCTTGTTGATTTTGCTAAGAATCACGAAGTGCTAATTCATTACATTGTTGTTGTTGTTTAATGCTATCCCCTTTCATTTACATTCTCATCTTAAAGAAGTACCGAATTGACTAAATTGGAGTTTTATCAATCAATATTGTACAACTTAGTTATTAGGTTGGCATGCTTTTGCTTAAAAATATAACATTAAATAAGAAAGATTAGTTCAGCGAAGAGTTCTCCCCTTTTCGGTGAATTCATTTTCAAAGCTGTACAATCGCAAATATATATAATTGTTTTTACAGGGTGATAATAATACTGATAATAAACTTCTGTTAGACATGGTGACAGTGAGGTTAAATAAACAAAGGTATTATTTTCCTGCCGATCATTGTTCACCAATAATCTGAAAGATAAATTATCGCATCTGACCAACTCAATGTGCATTTACCAATTTACCTACTGTTGTGGAGCTAGGTATATAGGTCGTTCGATGCGTACTTTATCCAAAAGAATTCAAGAACATTGTCCGGTGTGGCTAAAAAGAGGAGGCAACGGCTCAATAAGAAGTTCTATAATCGAACACCTTGTGAACACCGGTCATTCAATCAAGGCAGACTTTGAGTTCAAAGTCATCTACAAGGTAAGTAGAAGTCTTCCTAAGACAATTAGATTTCATCTTCTTTGCATTGCCTAGGCAATAGCCATACATTTTGAAAAACCAGAATTATGTGTACAAAAGAGACTGGTACAACCTCTTCTTCAACCATGGTCTTAATGTATTAAAAATTTTTTTCTCTTTCTTCATAGTCTTGTTACCTTACAGCCACCTGCTTCACCTTCCATCTTCCCTTCAAATCTTCTACTCCCAACCGGTTTGTTTTTATTTCCACGATCATTCCGATTACATTTCATCTCTGTTTCAACATTTTATCAAACTTTCCTTGTTTTTAAAAAAATTTTCTAATACCTTTGTTTATTTAACCTCACCGTCACCATGTATATCATAAGTTTATTATCAGTATTATTATCACCCTGTATAAATAAGTATATATATTTGCGATTGTACAGCTTTGAAAATGAATTCACCGAAAAGGGGAGAACTCTTCGCTGAACTAATCTTTCTTTCTTATTTAATGTCATAATGGGTGTATTCCATTTATTAAAAATATAATGTTATTATGTATCCATTGTTATCACTAAGTGTTCGTTGCTACTTTAAATTCTTGCGAGAGAATCAGAAACAAAACTTTTGAAGGTATTATTCTACTTTAGTTACCTTTGAACCATCAATTCAAAAATAGAGTAACTAGTCGCAAATTTAAATATTAGTTACTGAGAGAGATTTTCTCTAAAACAATTGGTTGGTACTCGTGCTACACAGAGTTGACTACTATCTGCAATGACACACTATGATAATTATCAGGAATATATTAGATTTGAAATACGGTAGGATGTGTTGTACCAAGATGAGTCATTAGTTCGTGAAGTCAATGACTTTGAGACGATGGCGAAGTTTTGTAGCTTAGGTGGAGTTTTGTTCACTGATTGTTGATCAGGATGTTCAGTGTTTGTTAGATAAGCTCACTATATCATTGTAGACTTTGACTGATATTAATTAGTATTTCAGATGGAGGAAATACTTTCATTATTTATCTTCCTGTAAATTTTTAATATACTACTATCCCACACTTTTCATTCCACCATTTAATTGCCTACATTTCGGGTTAAATTTTCTTTAGTAAGCTTTCTAATACAGCTGATTTTATTTCCTCAGCGAGGCTATAATTTATTGACGAACAAGTCAGATATAAGATAATAGGTCTAGGGTTTTGGCGCGAAATTCACTCATACATTTGACTAAATAAAGTTTCAGCATTATAGCTGATGTCAGCTCCTGATGAAAACCCTAAAGCTAATTCCTAACTTTAACCATCAACTGTAAATTATAATTCTATTTCCTCAAACTGATTTATAACCCTCATTTGGTCCTAGTTATTAGGTGGACACTCTCAAGGTCACTTTAGCGTGACTGAAAGGTCATCCATAAATTATAGTCTCATGATCAAATGAATATCAGTTGAGTGATGTTACGTCATACAATCAACTTGTAAATGAGTCAGTATAACATTAAGCCGGTTATACATGGAATTGCAACAGTCCGAAATACTTCAGTAGGTAGAAACGACATCTTGGCAATTCAAGGTAATATTTAGTTGATCAACTAAAACTATGATGAAGATCAGTCGATTCTCGATATATTGATAGCCTATCAACATATAGAGAACCGATTGATCTAGACTGGCTAGCGATTGCAGGGGATGTTGAGCACGGTGTTCCCACTCGTGATCTGGCGCAGATGCATGACCGAGCGCCTTCAGCTAGGTGAGTCCATTAAAACTAATGTTGTTAGCATCCAACGTCGAAAACTTACAGAGCTATTTATTTTGGGGATTTATTTACCGCTACAGATCACCCCCCCCATAACGGGGTAGTGATGACCCTAAAACGTGGCCAGCCAAAATTTTAAACCCAGCGAGTTTTGTCGTTGGTAAACACTCTTCTGATAGCTTGCTATGTTTAGCAGCGTCTGATCATCTTTCCTTACCATAAGGGACCATGTTGTATTAATTTATCACTACAAATACTAGAAGTTAATTTCAAATGATATACATTTTCTAATATGTTCATGTTTTTAGAACTTTCTAGAATGTAAATCGAATTCTATATCACAAATGAATCAACCTAATTGTGATGAAATTAAAAGCGCCAATCCTTTGAATAATATTTCATCAAGTGATCAATTTAAAGATATTTTCAGAAAAAAAAATTTGTATAATAATATACCGGCATATTCTACAGAAGAAGATAATAGAGAAAATGATATTCATAATCCATTGGTACATCACAAGTAGGTTGCATTACAAAGTTACTTTTTGTTGCTCAGTAATTCTTTTATTGATTTAAAATAAACTCAGTGAATACAGTGATGTTGAGTGCTGTTTCAGGTATGGGAGTAGTTATCGCTTCCTGCTTGCCTACACCTTAAAAGGGATCTTCTAGAGGTTAAGGATGGTCTTAATGACCTGAGAGCATGACCGCAGTGCCCAAAAGACAACTGTTTGAGGTCGGTCACACACGACCATTTTGTGAGTAATTTTCGTGTTAGCTCCGTACTTGTTGAGACCTTAACACCGGAGACGGATATCTGTGAGATAAAGTGAGGTGTGTATTTTAGGGTCGACTTTTTCTAACACCACCTTTCCTTTGTAGGAAGCCAGGATTGCTGTTATATTGGTTGTCTGAAAGAGATACTTTACTGCCATCATACCTCTGTACAGTTGGCAGTACGACTTCGCCTTCGGACCTTGGGTTTGCTACTTTTAGCCTTACCGCTCTTCAATTGACCTGTTTGGCATGATAGGACATTGAAGAATGATTGTTCCAGCCAATATACGATAGGCAAGCCCGACCACCACATTAAGGTAGCAGTTGGTTAACATTTATGTTTTAACAATTTTTCTGATAAACAGACTCATTTAAACAATGTATGGTATTTTACATAACATAAGAGTGGTGGCTCAGTGGTTAAATAACCAGGATTTATCTACTTGGTCCAACGTTCCAGAACATTACTGTCTACCTAGGTCCTGACAGATTGTTACTATAATTAGCCTTGATGCTATATACATGAATTGCATTAATTAATTGATCAAAACTTTGTATTTTGTAAAGGACATTTCGATTCTTTAGCTCTGCAATTTATTTTTAATAAACATTAATTGCTTTAAATATGAGTGAAACTTTGTCACTTCTGTTTCGATCTATTAAATCGCCTGATCCAATCGAACTAGGTATATTAGTTAAACTTACAATTGATTTCTCATACATAACTACGAACCATGATCCAAATGATTCTTATCAAATAAGGAATTATATCTAAAAGTGTTTCATTCCAGGTTAGTTTTATCAATAGTTTGTGAAGAATATTCAATCCGAGTGCCACAGAAGATTAGAAAATGCAAGATAGCCATTTCCTCTAAATATGCGGCTTAACTATCATAGGTCGAAAAATGAGAAAGCTAGTTGACTATAGATGACCTAACTGATAACTAGAGATTCAAATTTTTAAGTTCATTTAATTCATAGTACTATGCAGTCATAATTCATTCTCATTGACTTTCCAGTGCTTCTTTATTTTTGAAGATTGTTTAACTAATATTAGTTCATCATGTAGGCGATCAAATTTTCGCTTTGGAAACTAAATAGGTTGATGAAGATTCTTAGAGTATTCCCACTGTTAATTTTTTTTTACCGATTTCTTAGTTTATCTGATATCATTTCAATTGTATTCCTGTTTTATTTGAGTGATTACGATCTCTGTGATTGACGTCCGAATTTTATTGTCAGTAAGGAGTTGTGAAGTATATTGAATTGCATTGAAATCATGAATTGATCTAAATTAGAGTTCTGATAAGAAGCCATAACCACCAAAGACAATAGAAGATGGTCACACAATATAGTGGATTGATTGAAGTTAAATATTAACACTTTTGGATGTACACTCAGTGGTCTAGATGTTAGGTGATCGCACGAGACTAAAGGTCTTGGATTCGATTCCTGTATGCAAGGTCGTGGATGAGCACTGTTTAGAAGTCCCTTACTAGAACGAAACGGCTGTCCAGTTTTTTTAGGTTTTCAATGGTAGTTTAAGGTAGATAGCTTCATGATTTGAATGCAAGTCCTAATTTTATTCTGATAAATGTTCGAGTTAATTTATAGTAACTGTTTTCTAAAATCTGATCAATGAAATTCGATCATTACTAAATACTATCTCAATATGATATCGATTACTGCTGATTGGTCAATCAATGTAAATATCCCAGTCTTATGAGAGGTCCAATTATTTTATTAGTAACTTCAGATTGTTAATCTGGGTATCACGGATCCGAATTCCAAATGAAGTATAAACATATAGCATAGTGACGAGTACCAACTAACAATAAAAATTATGTCAGGGAAAGTTTCTCTTTAAATATCTGTAATCACTACAATCATCTAATCATAACTTTATCCAACACTTTAAAAATACCTATACGATCTCACCTGATTTCATTGAGAATGTTCAATTATAATGAAAGAAGAAGGAAATTATCGCTTAGATCCTAAAAAAGTTTATTATCTACTGGATTCCATGAGATCATAATTATATTAGTTCATTCATCTCCAAATCTTTCTTACATTTTAGTGATGATAAAGAAATTGAAGCTGTTGTAAATTGTTTAGCGGATACTTTAAAAGATGGTTGTCATCCTGGTGCACCTGAAATAATTCCACGTTGTAAAAATGATAACAAAATACCAACTGTATTTGTTAATTCAAACAATTGTGTAAGTAAAAATCAAAAGTTATTATTCAAGCCTAATTTAGAGGATAATGGACCAATTGAACCAAGTACGTTGTAAATATATATATTTTTATTTCGTTGAATAGTTTTGTAGGGATTACTCCACTTTGAAAACTAGTTTTTATCATGAACTGATAACCAATTAACAACTATATAGCACCTAGATCAATGCTTTATTCTAATATGCGACTCTTCAGAAGTAATCTAATTGTCTTCGGAAGACTTCTACTTACCTTGTAGATGACTTTGAACGCAAAGTCTATCTTGATTGAATGACCTGTGTTCACAAGGTGTTCGATTATAGAACTTCTTATTGAGCCGTTGCCTCCTCTTTTTAGCCACACCGGACAATGTTCTTGAATTCTTTTGGATAAAGTACGCATCGAACAATTTATATACCTAGCTCCACAACAGCAGATAAATTGGTAAATGCACATTGAGTTGGTCAGATGCGATAATTTATCTTTCAGATTATTGGTGAACAATAATCGGCTGGAGAATAATCTTCTCAATCAATGCGAAGAATGTTATTTTTAAGGAATCAGAAATTCTCCTCTTTAAGATATATGTGGCTTTATCGCCTTTGAAGTCGATGTTCATGTATAAAGTTTTCTTTTCTACTGTAATTATTCGTGCTTTTGGCGTTTTTGTCTTCATATTCTTATCAATGAATACTGAAAGACCACAGGTCATTCAATCAGAACAGTCTCTGCGTTCAAAGTCATCTACAAGGTAAGTAGAAGTCTTCAGAAGTACTCACCCAAAACCCTGTAGCGAATGGAACTCAGTACTTTACCTGTCACAAATTAGTTCAAACATAGTTTTACTAGTTTGAATGTATATAAATAAACCTGTGCATAATTAAGGGCACAATATTTTGGAGTGGAAGCAAATGATATAATACCTTTGTATTATTAAAATCGATCTTGAACGATATCTTCCGATACATACAAACTTAGATTACTATTATCTTTTAGATTCAATAAAGAAATCTATTTTGTATTGTTCGTTTAAATCTTCCCATTGATGTTTAGGACTGCAATAGGAAGATTTAAACAAACAAAACAAAATGAGTTTACACCTTACCCCATTACACAAGCTAATGGCTATCAGGACTCAGTAGCTAACGGTACTACTGGGTTCGAGTACCAGAGTGGACATTAACAATGAGATGTAGGTACATCCAGTTGGTTAAGCTACCTACAACATTTCATTCACCTACTTCAAACTGAACTATTCATAAATCTTTTTAAGTGTTTTATCGAATCACATAAAAAACCTTTATGTTCACTAGGGAAGCCTAGTGTACCTATGTCACTGGATGATTATCACATTATTTCAGGAACCAACAGAACTTGGAAATATGTAACATTGAACTCCTGTTCTCCAACCGAAAACGTTGATGAATTCGGAGTGAAATCTAAGTCTCCTAAACTCTATTTTATGTAGGTTCATGAGGAGTCCCAAACAGAGAATAGAAAGTAATGAAATCCCTGCCTAGTTTTCATTGTTTTTTTTTTGAGATAATGTCAGTTCATGACATCAGGTAACTTCAAATATTAGAACGAACAGTGTTATTTTTCACTGTAAATTACCTTTCTTATTATAATACTTTTTAAAAGCATGAAACTCCGACATCAAAATGTTATTCTTTTGCTAAACCACAGATTTTCTAAATATTATTTTATAGTGAGTTAGTAGTAATTGTATAGGAAGGACTGAGGAAAGAATTTTAACTAGGCTTTTCTGTACTTTACCCCGTAGAATTATGTAAAGTTTTTATAAGCGCAATCATGAGGCCACTTGATAGATAGTAGACACAGTGTAGACATCGATAAAGTAATCAAAATCATTTGTTATACTCATACGATTATAAACTTTTCTATTATGGATACGAATAATTATTATCTCTCTTTGTCTATTCTAAATTACTGTTTTTCTAACATATGAGTATGTTGTAGTAATTTAGTAGTTGAATGCATGAGTCGATTAAAGCTAGACCACCATGGAAATTCTGGAGGTACCGGACGGCCATTCCGTTCTATTATGGGACTCCTTAATACCATTGGAATCAGGCTCGGTGGTCTAGAGGTTAGGCGATCGCACACGAGACCGAAGGTCCCGGGTTTGAATCCCACAAGCAAAATCGTGGTTGCGCACTGCAGAGGAGTATCATACTAGGAAGAGACGGTTGACCAGTGCTTCGAGATTTTCATTAATGGTCTAGCTGTGATCGAATCATCAACTCAATTATTAATTTACTACAATCTTCACCAAAATCCCAGTCTGATGATAATCATCATTTCCTCACAAATTACTGGCTTCAAGTGGTATTTCCTGGAGTTCTAGTGAGAAGCAGTGACCAGTGGCGTTCAACCGTGTATATTGTGAGGCAGTAACTCACTGAAGACAATGATGGACGGTGGCGTGAATTCGTGGATTGGCAGAATTTAGACATTAACACCGTTGGATGTTGGCTCAGTTATCTACAGGTTAGGTGTTCGCGCGCGACACCGAAGGTCCTGGGTTCGGATCCCGCAAGCGGAATTGTGAATGCACATTGCTCAGTAGTTTCATATCAGGGTGGAACGGCCATCCAGTGCTTCCAGGTTTTCCACGGTGGTCTAGCTTTAATCAACTCATGAATTAAACTATTCAATGACATAAATATTTGTCAGTCATAATTATGTTAAATTACATGTTCTGTGAGTCATACCACTTCTCAGTTCATTTTAAAACATTTATCTCAATTTCACTAGATAAAGTATGCCAAATCTATGTTTGAGTTGTTTTCAGTTGACTTATTTATTTATTTATTTAAACACGTAAACATTGGTACAAGGAGCCACCAAATAAATATGCGCCACATTTATCATTCGATTTGTGTGAGGGCTGAGATACTGTTCGGGTGAACAAACCGAAGCAGCTAGTTTACTTACGGGGTCACAGCCGGATCCTTCGACCTAAGAGTCTAATCCACAAGGCAGTGGAGCAACTTAAGGAGATTCAATCCAATGGTTGCTGGTGATCACCGATTGATTCATATGTCGTTTGTTCCTTCAGGATACCGGAGCCCATGTACACCCTTGGTTTGGAATCAGGGTTTTCTAACTCCCCTAGGTGGATCCTCCATATCCATCAATCTGGCTAAAGCATCGGACATTCGCTTTTCTTCCCCTGAATTTCGAAAACAACACTACCGCCACGAGAAGACAGTGAGTAGGACTTGTATGCACGTGGCCATGTGAGACCATTTTGAGGAGAGAGTTGACTCTCCTCATTCTCGGCCGTTTGGAGGATTGAAATAAAATTCATTCACTTTATCTAGAAGATTTTGTTGTTCATACTATTTTGAATTACTATAAGAAAGTAGTCTACTCTTCAATCGTTGATTGTTCAGTTTTCTTTGTTTTTCAGAAGAAGAAACGATCAATCGATCTGTACATTTAAAACAACATTTTATAGAATTACAAAGGTATGATATTTTATGATGATAACACTTTATAAAAAGTCATATAAACAATGAGGCTGATCATTTGTGCGTAGCATTGAAACGTAGGATGTTTGTTTCGTTTAATTTGAACCTTTTTTTCATTTCGATGTATCTGGATCAAGAATATAATAAAGTGTCATGTCTTAGATTCTAATGCTATTGGAATTCCATCCATTCTAATTATAACTTATGATATAATGAGTATGTATAGACAATCTGTACAAGATAAGCATATGTCAACAAAGACTGATCAATGTTCAGTTAAAGATGTCAACAATAGGGTAATTCAAATTCTTTCTAATGATAATAATATAAATATGAATGATCCTTTTTAATACCATCTTTTAACTTGAGTGGAGTTATGTTCTCTGAGCTGGATGGTTTGGTCGTGGAGTTTTCATTGTTCTTCTGAACGACATCATCAGCACAAATTTCAGATAGACTTCATCTCACCATCTTTTAACGAAGGATTTATGAAATTGTCTTATATAATTGATCATACAAACTATATAAATTATTATTATTATTATTTGGTACAATATAGAATTCTTAGCACAAATTACTTCAACATGTTTAATTGCTTGATTTCTTGATCAATTCTGACAATAAATATTGATTGATCGCCAATTAGATGTTAGCATTTCAAGAATTGACATCTGAATAATGTACATTCTTTTCATCATTATATATTGTCAGCCACCATGATGTCTCTGATTATATGTTTTTGTACGCTGCACAATGAAAGGTCGTATGTTATTTATAAACTTAGTAGGCATAATGTGCTAAAACGAGAAAAAAACCCTGATAACCTGTTAAAATATCTAGATGGTAGGAACAGGTGATTATCGTAGAACAATCAATTGAGTGGAACTCGTCACTATACATCAACTTCATTGATTATGAAAAGGCATTCGACAGTGTAAATAGGAGAACATTATGGAAAGTTCTTCGACACTACGGAGTTTCTGAGAAGATTGTCAATATTATCCGGAACTCATATGATGGACTACAGTGCAAGGTCGTGCATGGAGGACAGCTGACAGGTGCATTCCAAGTAAGGACCGGAGTCAGACAAGGCTGTTCACTCTCTCCCTTCCTTTTTCTTCTGGTGGTCGACTGGATTATGAAAACCTCCAGATCTGAGAGAAAACACGGAATACAATGGACAGCAAGGGCCGCATTCCTACAGTTGAAGAACATATGGAACTCGAAACAACTGTCTGTCAACCAATATCAAAGTCACAATCTTCAGTAGGAATGTCAAGACAGTCCTACTGTATGGAGCTAAAATTTCGTGAACTACTACAACCATTATCAAGAAGGTAAAAGTATTTATAAATTGTTGTCTACACAACATACTCAACATCCACTGGCCGGATACCATCAGTAACAGCCTACTGTGGGTGAGAACAAACCAACTTCCAGCTGAAGAAGAAATTAGGAAAAGACGATAAAAATGGATAGGAGATACATTACGCAAATCATCAAGCTGCATCACGAGACAAGCCCTAACTTGGAATCCTGAAGAGAAGCAGAAAAGAGGAAGGCCAAAGAACACATTACATCGGAAAATAGAAGCAGATATAAAAAGGAAGCATAACAACTGGAAAGGATTGCAAAGGACAGAATTGGATAGAGAATGATGGTGAGCGGCCTATGCTCCTTCACGAGGAGTAACAGACGTATGTATTTAGGGAACAGGTGACCCCTTTATATTCAAACAGGCCGAAGCGGTAGGCGTTTATACCGATTAAACTTTGATGTATCTATAAAAGAATGATTTCCTATTTATTAAAATCAATCAGGAAATAGAATCGTCAGAAACAAACATTTATACAGAAAACTTCAAGATTTATACTTCAGTTTGAGTGAGATTGTTTTGTTCATTGTCAGTTCATAACTTTAAATCGAGTAATAGCATTTTTTCTTTAGATCCATTCATTAAATTACTAATACTGAAGTTATGTAATATTCAATTTCTTAGAATTCTTCGAATTAAATTCATAATCTATGGTTAAATATTCATTTCATATTGTATACATGATCTCAGAATTGTTTTTTTAAATCAGAGTGGGTTTTGTGGAGAGTTTTAGAAATTTCACAGGTTGAAATCATGAGTCAATTGAAGCTAGACCACCATGGAATACCTGGAAGCACTGGACGGCTGTTTCGTTCTAGTATGGGACGAAACGGCCGGCCAGTGCTTCCAGGTTTCCAACGGTGGTCTAACATCAATTAATTCATGATCTCAACCAAAAACTTAACAATCTCCACAACCCCATTCTGATAATTTGAATTTAATCAGTCTGTTATTGGGCTATAGATTAGATTAAAGCATGATCCGTGTAGGATTGTGTTGAGGCACACTGACTGGCTATTTACTAACCAATCAACACTAGTGGATACTTGAAGAAGACTGTAGAATCTTCTGATGTAAAAATTATAAGTATGCTAACGTTTTTTGAAATCGTGATTCTTACTTCCGTCCACCCTTCTTATTTGGAATATAAGTATGCTCCTGTTCAACCGTATTTTGATTCGGGGACTTGCCTAGTGAAATAGTGTCCAAGAATACGAAGCAATAAAAGTAGCTGGATAGTAATAGGAGAAATCATAACACAGCATAAAGTAAATCTGTAAATACATGAATTCATTGTTAGATTATTCAAAAATTGTTACATGGATGTTGTGGTAAATGTTCATATGGCATCAGTGTCTATACTCTTCATTTGTATTTCGGACCATGTCAGTTCCATTCCAGTTATAACAATACCGGACGAACATTTCAGTAATAAACATATCTCAGCAGCTCATCGGACAAGACTTTGATATCCATGGTGATATATTCTGAATCCGAGTCTTTAGAGAGAACATAGGCACTAGGAAACAAATATAAACACAGCTGATTAGTTCCAAAGAGGACGTTGTATGTGTCTTGGATCATAATGTAGCCCAAATACTGATTTGTAAATGTCGATAATATCGTGATAACTGTTGAAAAAGTCTACACACTGAAATCGGCCAGTTAAATTCATTTTATTATATCAACAAACAAGTCTTGATATCTTAACAAGTAAATAACCCATCTTTAGTCAGAATTCTAAATATAACTCTGTATAATTGTTTTTTTTTCATTTTACCGATCAATAGGGAGTGCATAAAGAATGTGGGCTTGAAGAGGCTACATGAAGCTTACGAAGTTCTTGATCAAGATTTATCCTCAGAATCTCAAGAGGTAAACTGCTTACGATTCATCATCTTGACGCTATACATTTTTCAATTATTTCGGAGAAAATGCATATAGAGTCATTTGTTATTGATACTTAGCCACTCCCTACACCAGTAGGAAATGCTTGACAAAGTAATATTAGTTTTAAAGAGAACTATTGACCGAAACAATATATGGTGTCGGTTGAGGAAGATGTTGACTATTGATCAAAGCCATATTGATACATGCAAACATGTAGGCTGAAGAGTGGATTATGATTATAACTTGGTGACGGTGCGCAAACTGGTCTAAGTTTTAACATTGTTTCAAGTTTTTTATTTCCGTATTTCATTTCTTCGTTTTAGAATAGTAAACTTACTATCATTGATACCGTTACTGTACTGTACCAACGTTCGGCTGCTCACACAGAATCCTCACCCCTTTCCCTAAAAAGTATTCGGAACTGGAGGAAAATCGACCGACTACCCCCCCTACTATTTTGTATTATTTAGACTTTCAAACTCATGTAATTATGCGTAGGAAAAATGAGTTCAAAATACTTTGTAGATAATTAACCTCAATGAGTACATAAATAGGACATTTGTGATGAGCATTTGAATTATAGATTGGATCGGTTGAAGCTAAATATTAACACCGTTGGATGCTAGCTCAGCAGTCTAGAGGTTAAGTGTTCGAGACCGAAATTCCTGAGCTCGAATACTGCGCGCCGGATCGTGGATGGCTACTACTAGGGGGGTTTCATCCAGTGCTTCTTAGTTCTTAACAGTGGTCTAACATCGATCGATTCATGGTTATAATTAAAACTCAACAATCACCACAACTCCATACTCATAATAGATTTACTAAGGGTTTATTACATTAAAGAAATGGTAAAAAATACAGTAATGATTATCAAGTCAAATAAAGGTTTTTGATAAGAACAATGTAAAAATACCATAAATCAATCATTTAGTTCGTGCATATTAATATTACATGATATTTTACCAGAGGGTAACTGTTGACATTTTCTATTTTCACATCTACACCTTCATCCTAAAAGAAACTATGATTATTTTGAGTCCTTTGACAATTATCCTGGCATATTTAACTCTTTACCTTGATGTCTTATGATAACTTGAATTGGATCAAATTTGCAACAGATTGTAATTTGATTTTGATGGGCTGACTGCCAACTATCTAAGGTTTATGAAACAGTAAATTAATAGATGGAAATGCATATTACTATGACAGATTATTAGATGTCTTTGAATGTCAATTAGATAATATTTCTGTTTTTCATGTATAAATTTATGTATTCCTAAAATTCTAATGAATAAAATGTGACCGATGAATTTAATCAGCGAGTTAGTGATGAACTGAATTACTGACTATATTGAGATGGTGGAGAAGATTTATAGCTCAGGTGGATGATTTTGATGGAGGTTTGTTCTCTGAGCTGGATGTTTTGGTCGTAGAGCTTTCATTGTTCTTCTAAACAACATCATCAGCACAAACTTCAGATTGAAGTGGAGTATTGAAATGTCTGCACATGTGATTCACAGCTTGTCCTGTAGACGTCAATGTTGATTGGTTCTTGATAACCTTAAACCTGTCATTGTTCACTTCTCTGTTTTGGTTACATCTTCCATGGGATAACCAATCAACATCGAAGTCTACAGGACAAGCTGTGAACCACGTATGGAGGAATTCGAACGCTTCACTTCTATCTGAAGTTTGTGTTGATAACATTGTTCAGAAGAACTATGAAAGCTATAAGACCAAACCTTCCAACTCAGAGACAAAAACTAACTATATTCGATACAGATCGTAATTTAACAACAATTAACTGAAGATAAAAATGTCAGCTCAATAGGATCTAACAGTCAAGAGTTCGACTTTATGTGTTTTCATTGAATGTACATTACTTAGAACGTATAAATAACGGTATTTACTATCAATATCCTCTCTTTTCAACGAAATTTCTATCAAGTTGTACAATCGTATATATATATATATATGAAAATTGGTTTTTGTTTTTGCTAAAGTACTAATTCCGTGAGGATATGTGAACATGAATAACAAAGATGACGTAATAGAAAGATTGTAATACTAGATTACGTACTACGAATAATAATAATAGGACGAAACGGCCGTCCGGTGCTTCCAGGTTTCCATGGTGGTCTAGCTTCAATTGACTCAAGATCTCAACTGTTTAAAATTACTACAATCTCCACAAAACCCCTTCTGATAATAATAATGATAGACTTAGTAAATTAGTAACGAATTATAACGTGAATGTAGTAAGATAACTAAAATATTTTTGTTACAATAATTAAAGGTCATTAAAGATCATAGAGGTGTTAAAATAAATCAAGTGATATGAAGAGTACTTATGAATAAAATAATGAGAATATGAGACATAATTAAAGGGGGAATGCAGTAATGAGATAATAATGATTAAGGCCAAGATAACGATAACGATAGGATGTACTTCTTTTGTACACATAGTTCTGGCCTGAGCTAATGGATGATAAGGGCTTCGGCTATTTTTTAGGAGGTGGATACGAAGAAATCTAGGAAGATTTGAACGAATCGTATATACAACCTTAAACTGTATATCCGTAAAATGATTATAGTCGATTAGGTGTTCAAGTATAGAATTCCTAACTACCTTCTTATCGTCCTTGTAGAACTAAACTGGAACGTGTTCCCGTATCCGAGTTGAAATCGATCACTGGCTAAGACCAATGTACGTTGCTCCACAAGAGCAAGTGAATTGGTAGATGAATATGGAGGCGGCTAGATGGGGAAGCTCATCTTTTATGGATATAGAAAATAAGTTACTGCCACTAAATGTTATTCATAGTTATACCGCGTTGAATATTCCTTTAATCGCTGCCGCTAAACGATTTTTGACTACACTGATTGAAATCGAAGCTAGACCATCATGGAAAACCTGGAAGCACTGGATGACCGTTACGTCTTAGTATGGGACTCCTCAGCAATGCGCATCCACGATCCCACACCCCGCGAGATTCGAACCCAGGACCTATCAGTCTCGCTCCAGGCGCTTAACCATGGTGGTCTAGCTTCAATTGACTTATGATTGTACAGTTTGATAATAAATTCGTTGAAAAGAGATCCTTTCACTGAGCCTAGTGGTTTTAATGTTTCAATGGAAATTATCTTGTCAATATTCTTTTCTGTTTTATTTTATTGTTACTTTTAGATATTATTAAAGAAAATACTTGGCATAGATATTTATTCACAATATATGAGTAAAATTTGGCAACTTAAACTTCTTGAACAAAATACTTTTGAAAAAGAAACATCCAGTTAACAACAAATGACCAGTCGTATAGTTATAATTCTCTTTTTTTAAAGGACATACATGTATATTATGTGAACCCCGTGTTTATTTTTCGACAGTCTTTTTATATATACTTTTCATTGTTACTTTGATACCATAACTTCGGTTTGGACACCCATGGCCAGTATCCCAGCCCTGTTACGAAATGAATGATTTATGTGGCGTATATCTATTTGGTGCCTCCTTGTACCAATGTTTATATGTTTAAATAATAATAATATCATCGGTCCAAGTTGCCATACCTCACTGAACCGATGCCTATGTGTGCCTGATCCTACGTTGTAACTGACTGACTGACTGAATACCATAACTTAAACACATTATGAGCATATGAGTAAGTTTCCTTTACATTAGGTACTGATTTAACTCAAATCTTATGAAACATTCATTATATCATGTCATCATTTGAAAAAAATGGAATATATAAGACAAAACTACTAAATTTATTTATGAACTAACTTCAATGTAGGATGGTTTTATACACAAATATCATTTTATAGTCAATTCATATTACATTTTATTTACTATTATTATTCATACTACTTACAAATGTAAATGAGTAGAATATAATGTAAGTGATATAATTGATTTTTGTTTTGAAAAAATAATCCTGAGCTGATTCATAATTTCAAGTATTGTGATTTGGTGAACTTTATTTGTATAAAAAGGATATTTTTCACTAAGAAAATGACTGAATATTCATTTAGCAGGTTTCATATCTGACCACACAAACAGAGGGAATGGTACAATCTCGTCTCCACAAATCCTTCTTCATATTAGCGCAGTGAAAATAAATTAATAGGATTAAGGGTAATAGATTTGTAGCAATATCATGTGTAGAGTTAAAATAAACATCAGAAAAAAAAAGAATGAGAACAGATGAAATATGCAAGATACTAATAATACTCACTACATAAGGAATATAAAGGGAATATACACAATTGCTGAACTGAGTATTTTTGACCATCTTCCCAACCAGAGGATTTTAATTGCAAAATAAAGTTATTGTACCGACTTTAACTAGACTTTACGTAACGCTCAATATGCTTTATTCTGAAAGTCAGAGAATTAATGGGTTAATGTGATACAAAGCCCATTTCAACACAAGCACTCTTAATCCAACCCTGTCCTAGACAGATGTTTCCACTTGCTATTCATCCTTATCATATCTGATTACAATTCACAACGCACTGTGTTTCCTTCCACCTGCTTCTTTTACTTTTCTCTTCTGAATTCAAAGTTACCGCTTGCCTCGTGATCCAGTTTAGTGATTTCCGTAATGTATATCCCATCCAATTACAACGTATTTTCCTAATTTCCTCTTCAATTGAAATCTGGTTCATTTTATCCTACAGTGCGCTGTTACTGACGGTATCCGGTCAACGGACATTCAGTATGTTGTGTAGACAATTGTTGATGATTGTTGTAGTAGTTCTCTGATTTTTGGGTTCGTACAGTAGGACTGTCTTGATGTGACTTTGATATTGGTTGAGAGACAATTGTTTTGAGTTCTATATAATCTTAAGTTGAAGGAATGCGACCCTTGGTTTTCTAGTGCTTGCCAGCACGTCTACATCAGATCCTCATTATTGATGGACGATGCTATCCAGACATGTGAATGATTCTATCACTTCTAGAGTTTCTCCATCAAGTTTGATTGGGTTGGTGTTCTCCGTGTTGTATATGAGGATCTTACTTTTCCTTTGTGCATTTTGGGGCATACTGATGCAGAGGCTGCTACTACACTGATTGTCTTGACCAAAATTTGTTGGTGTGTATGTGATAGAATAGCCAGGTGATCTGCGAAGTCCAAATCTTCTAATTGATTCCGGTTAGATGCGGAGGTCCTCATAATCCAGTCAACCACCAAAAGAAGGAGGAAGGAAGAGAGTAGGCAAACTTGTCTGACTCCGGTCCTTACTTGGAATGTATCTGTCAGTTGTCCTGCATTAACTATTTGCACTGCAGTTCATCGTATAAATTCTGTATGGTGTTGACGATCTATTAATTTGCACCCTAGTGTTAAACAGGGTCCGGACATTCCATGTGCCTGTATTAATTGTTGTTCTGGTTGTTAGGAAGTGGGTAGACTTCGTAACTTCTGAAGAAACTCGGCTTTGGGCAGAGTTTAAGTGGTTAAAACGTTTTTCTGGTTATCGTTTTTAACAAGGTCGTTTATTCTGGGATGACGTTGCTGACTCTATGCCCAAACCTCCTCCTCTATTTCAGCTTGTGACAGGCCTTAGAAAGTCTACAGACGGAGTTAATATAGTATGACCATGGATTAATAACTCATCCATGTGTGGTATTAAATATCCGTAAGAAGTCGCCAAAACAATCACTGATTATAAAATTCCCTGGGCATAACATATGCCCATGTAAATAATCTACCAATTATAAATTAATCGATTTACATAACTTTAAGCCTCACCATTTATATGAAAGCTTATTAAACAAAATCTTGACTACCAATAACTGAATGAACCAGATCAGATAGTTTCTTATTCGTTTAAATCAGAATGATTTTTTAACTTCATTAACCTGCTGGTTAATGATTGCTTAATTATATTACTAATCTTAATACTAAAGAGAAGTTCACCATAATTTTTATTAACATTCTTCTTGTGGGGGACGACCCATCGGTGAACTCAAGAAAGTTCTAAGAAGCTCAGAAAGAGCAGAATATATTTCATCCAATCATCTTTTGGAAGAGTATTCTAGAATCCATACATGTAGCTTCTCTATTGGACAAATGCAAATAACCCCCTGTATGCGAATCAGAGAACTATAATAATGATTTCGTTTTTACTAAAAAGTATAAATACTTGACAGTTTTGTACCATAATTAACACTGTTTGGAATAACATTCCTTTCACTTGTCTTCTGTCTTCTCATTCGTCACTTGGAGAGTTCTAGCGTTCGAGTGCTCTAGTTGCACGTGGTATAATAAGAAACTAATCTCTAGATATAACATTTCTCCATTATCCATTATCCATTCATTCATCATATCAGTACAGATTAGATTAGTGACATGAATAAAAACAAAGTTTTCTCTAATATATTTTAATGAATTTTAATTGTACTTTGATCTCGTCGACACATTATTCTCCTATTACCTATGGTTCTCTGATAGTAAATGTGCTAATAAACGTTTTATATACGTTGACGATTAATTTCTCAAGTAAAATAAATCCGTTCTTAAAACAACCATCAGAAATTCAAAAAAAAAAAACTAGCAAGTTACAGTGTGTTAAACAAAAATGGGTAGTGACTAGCAGTGGAATCCAGTTTGACGCGCGTTTTGTCCTGTTTGGAACTCGACAGATAGATGTACTTGCATCTCAGAGTTGATGTTCATCCTGAGACTCGAACCCATCATCGTCCACTTCAAACACAAACATGTCACCCACTTGGCTACTGAGTCCTGATAAGTACCTACTTGTGCAATGGGGTGAAATTTTAAATTCACTTGGTATTGTTTACTTGTATCTTCCCATTGTTATTTAGGACTAGTGCATTCAACTAGCGAGTCCCAAATAGTATGAAACGCGCATCCTGTATTCCACTGATAGCCATTATCCATCTTTGCTTATAAAGCTTGTGACCTAAGGCAATACTGAGGCAGTTTGCACAGTATGTAAATATGCCAACAAGAGACTGATCACTTACACTTTTAAACATCAATGGGAAGATATAAGCAAAACAACACCAAGTGAATTTACATTGTGTTAATTTTAATTTTAGGTCTTAATACTCATATGATCATATCAACAAAGTGCATGACTGCAATCTACAATAAATAATAAATCATTATTAGTGTGGAACAAGAACAGTTGTGATATAAAGATAATTTTCAGTGGCCCGTGATCTGACTCCAGTTATCGTGTATGAATGATTGATATTGAGATACACATATCGCCAATGCTAGTATATTTTCTTAGACTTAAATCGTGTTAGTAAATAAGGGAATTAAAATGCCGGCTCAGTGGTCTAATGGTTAAGGGCTCGCGCACGAAACCAGTAGGTCCTGGGTTCGAAACTCGCGGGGGGCGGGATCGTGGATGCGCACTGCTGGGGAGCCCCATGCTAGGACGAAACGGCCGTCCAGTGCTTCCAAGTTTTCCATGGTGGTCTAGCATCAATTGACTCATGATTTCAACCAGTGAAATTTCTAAACATCTCCACAAAACCCATTCTGATAATTAAAATAAGTCAAATACAAGAATGGATGTTTGAATACGCATATTTTATACATTGATTGATCGGAACAGATAGAGAATCACAGTAAATGAACCAAAGAAGACAGAGAGCGAAGCGAAATAAAAGGATGAGAAATAGAGATGATGTATGAACTAACTTCCTTTAATTAATCTTTAATCAATATTTATAGCCAAATAAAAATAAGTTACATACATGCGATGAATAGGATAAGAAGTTGTGGTGTTTGAATGAACTAATGATTCCTTTGTACTTGCTTGATTTCAAATTCCAAATACAGTACAGTCGTTTGTGTTTATATAGTATTTCTTGGTTCACTTGCGTTATTTCTTAGATTCCTTGTTTGTACTTGTTATATCCCGATAAGAATAATGAATGGTAATTCTTGGGATCCTTTAATGGACCAATACTATGCGTATATTTCTATTGTATAATTGTTAAAAAACTAAACTATTCATATTCATGTCCCTCTGATTATAAGCTTTATTTTGACCTATGAACTATTATCATACGATTTACCATTCTTCAGTTATGCCTAGTCTATTAATTGTAGTCTCCAACATTTACAACCACATTTGGCCGAATTTTGTACAAATGTTGTTTCCCATTTTATGGTATAATGTGGTCTGTTTGATTGGTATATAAACTCAGTATGTTTGAAATATAAGGATTCATATTGCAGAGGTTGAGATTGGTGTTCTGGACTTAACTGGTTGGGCTAGGCAGGAAGCAGGACCAATCAGGACTCCAGGTTTCTCGCACGTGTTTTGTGCGTCACTGATTCGGTCGATAATTCGCTGCTCTCTGATTGGCGATATCGTTGAGTTATCCAATAACAGGGCACACAGGTTCACAAGTTATAACAGTGCTATAATTGAAATACTACTGTTTATCACAGAAGAGTACTTACATACGCTCAGTCAGGATTAATAAATGAATAATTGACAAGATCAAAACATGATTCAAGAAGAATGGATAAATTGGTGTATCCAGAAGTTAGAATAAGTTATATGGGTTTAACATAGTAACCAACACAACAAATTCATGAATATTAACCCAGATTTCAATAGTCAATCGATTAAATGACACTATACAATTAGAATCATTAAACAATAAAAAAGTAGTATGAGTGCTGGAGTGATCCAGAAAATTTCTTGCAAGAGACAAGCAAGGATCAGGAAACACTTAGAAGCGTTTCATCCAATCAACGTTCACTTGAAGTTTTAGCCAGAAATATCAAGGAAGTGAAACGTCACATGTAGAGGTTCTGATTGGCTGATTGCTATACTGCTACTATGTTTAGTAGCATTCCAGAATCTTCGAGTGACCTAAGGACATTTAGAAATATTATAAAAACCCTATATTT